CTCTCACTCTGCCTTTCATACATACGCCAGAGCAAAGACTGCAGCAGAACACAGGGCCGGTAGGATTTTCCTTCTCATACTAGAACAGCCGGGAAACCAGAGAGACAGTTCCCCGCTGAGTAGCAGAGAGACGATTTTCATGGAGAGTCCACTGAGGAGTACCTGATCCGCGAGCTGCTGACTGTGTAGGTGAGTGTGTGTGTCTGTTTATCCCACTGTATATGTGTGTCCATGCGTGTGAGTTCACTGCAGAAGCAGCAGCACTGCAGATACACCGACCAGGGGCTCTGCTCATCCCTCTCTCCCCTCCCCCCACTCTCCTCCTCCTCATCTCCTCTTCTTCTCCTGGAGCATCCATTGACAAGCAGGGACTTCACCCATTTCTGAGAGCGCAGTGCTGTGTGTGCTGCGTGTGTCTGTGAGAGAGTGGAATTGGTCCGGCCACACCTGGACTCAGCAACTGCAGTGTGGACGCTTGATTTTTCTCGCTGTGTGCTCTTGTGAGGCACAAATCAAGCCCACCGATTGCAGTTTGTGAACTGTTTTCTAATATTCCTCCTTCTGCAGGTTCGCATCTGGCTCTCAGAGGCACTTGTGTGGACTCCTAGACGCACCCATCCCTCCTTCGGGACTGCCCCACTCCCTCCCTACCTGCCCCTCATCGTTCATTTAAGGGAAAGGATGCCCGGCTGTGCGCCCCTGTGCTGAGGAGGCGTCAGCGGGCAGCAGTATGGGCGCTGTGCTGGCTGGCATCCCCACCACCCCCTCCACCACCAATCTGCCACCACCACGCTGCCCCACCAAGACGGGCGCTCCCCCCAGCCCCGCTGATGGGCGAAGACACTGACGCCACCCCAACGCTCAACCACCGCGGCTTCCTCCCCGACCACAACTATGTGACTGAAGGTAAGGAGAGGACAGAGGAAGCTGTGTGTGTGTCTCCAGTGTGTGTTTTAAGTGTTACCCCATGTGAGTGTACATCTATGTGTTGAATGTTATGAGAGTATATGTGTGTATGCGAGTCTGTCAGACCTAACAAGCTCAGGACGGCTTCCTAATCTTCTATAAGCTCCGCGTTGAGAAGTGTTCAGACAGAGCCACAGACAGGGCAACAAGAACTAGGAAGCCAAACACTCTCCTCTCTGCAAAATTATACCATATCAGACAAGTTTCCCTCTCCTCCTTCCCTATCATACTGTTCTTTTTCCTCTTGTTTGTGCTTTTGTAGCCACTTTTTTACCTTGTGTAACAGCTATTTTGTTACACTGCAGGGAAGAATTGATCCTGCCTGTGTCTGAATGTGTGTTTGTATGTCTCAGTTTGTGTTTGTCACTCAGAATCAGACAAGGAGAATATGTTTTTGGCTGTAAAATATATGTGTGATTTGTCAGAAACTTCCATCACATTGTTGTTTACTTATTGCACTGCATGCCATCTCTCACATCATACGAGAGTCACGCTCATGTTCTGTCTGTTGCTCCCCCTCTTCTATATAACAGGTGCAGGTGTCAAATTAAATAGATAGTGTATCAGGTCTCAGGTGGGGGAAATATTGAAAAACCCAGCAGCACACAACTGCCGAGCAAACCGCTGAATTCCTTCGGTTTGTTTCGTAAAACAGATGGATTATAACCCTGGATCACTAATCGCAGTAACGCCTGCACACTGCACACAATCTTACCTGCACACTGGCGTCCCTGTCTGCCCTCCTGCCTCGTCTGTTTCTTACACTCAGCTCATTGTTCGGCACGCCTCTTAGACCAGAACAGCGGATTATCATTTGGGGGTCATGAGCACGTTGCAAGCTTATTTGTGATCCTCGTATCACAGCAGAAAGGGAATTATGCTTCCTGTGTCTGCGCTGTAACGTAATTTCCCTCACGCAGAAGCACATACTGTTGTCAGGGGAGACCCATAGTGCTGCCTGTTGATTATGTAAACGCTTGTGTGTACATTCAACGCATTATATTGAAGGCTGTCTCTGTGCGTGCCTTTGTTTGTGCGAGTATGCCTGCCTTGTTTCCTCTTATACAGTAATACAGCGTTTCCATGAGCAATATGTGTCTTTGCCCACTTTCTGAAAATGAATTTGATGAGTGAGTGGCAAAAAAAAATCATCATTGTTAACATCCATCACCACCCATCTATTATTGCCATAGAAACAGTCAGTGATGATAAACATGCAGCTTTTCATGCTTGGCCAGTATGATTGACAGGTTGTCTCCACCCACCAATAATGGCAGTATTAATTATTCCACACGTCTCTGGCAGACACAGACATTATTCAGGATGAATTGCTGATGAGCTCGCGCCAAGGTGGACACAGCACTGAACAGCATTGGTCTGAAAAGAGCTGTGCAGCAACACTGACAGCCCGGATGCAGAAGAATGTAGACGGACGTGCTCTAAAAATCAATCTCGCAGGAGTTCCCCTGATGACCAGCAAATGTTATTTTCCCGTCACAAATAAACAAAATTTTTCATTACCTGCCTCGTCTTCTACATGCACTCCAACCCCCCTCCACCTTTCCTCCATGTTCAACCCCATCCCCCGTCCTCCTCCCCATTTCCATCCCCCACTGATCTCCCCCTCTCTCTTTCCCCATCGGTCCTCTAATGCAACTCACAGCATTGCCCGGTGCTGAAGTGGCGCATCTGCCAAACAATTATCCAACAGTGCTCTAAAGGCTGCTCAAACACAATGTGCTTCTGTATGTGTGTGAGAAGGACAGAGGGTGGTGGAGACAGACAGGGAGAGGTGGTACACGTGATTTTACGCTTGGGTGTAGTTTGTTCTCTCCCGTGTGTCTCTCATCTTTCTTTATTTTTCGCCTCTGTTGCATTCATATTCACGTGTGTGTCTTTGTACAAATAGTCTGCGTCTTTTTGTTTGCTCAAGTTTGTGTATATATGTATGGGTGTGCGTCTGCAAGCATTTTGTGTGCGTATATGTGTGTGTGTGTGTGTGTGTGCATACATAACAGTGTGTCTGTAGATCTTCCCCTGGGGATTCCCCTGCCCTTTAACTCCTACAGGGAAGGGACGCTTAACCTCCCACTACCTTACTGCCCTCCCTCCTTTCCCTTCATCTCTTACTCCCCCCCCTGCCCCTCCTCTCACTTCTTTTGCCTTCCAAAATATCTCCCTCTGCTACAGCCTCACCTCCAGCTGGTGTAGCATTGGGTTCAAGGATGGATGTGGAGATAATACCAAATTCTAAATTTTGACATTTTTGGAAGTTTTGTGAATAAATTATTTATGAAGTATAACATTTCATAAATAATGCACAGATACCAAACCTGTTATTTTTCTGTATCATATATCAATGTGTCTGTCATTACTGCTGTTGAGTGAAAACTGTCTGATTTCAAGGGACCAGAAAGAAACAACCTGGATTGATATGTTTTTGGCAGAATCCTCCTGGCTTTGTAAATGTTTCATAATCCAAAGTGGTTGGGGAATTTGTCAGTGTAGTGAGAAGCTTACAATCCTGACACAGGTCCAGAAACTGAAAAGACAAAAATATTATTTGAAACTATGAACATAAAACTAGAAAAATAACCACACTGAACACTTTTAAATCTTTGAATCATTTAGTAACTTGTACTTGGCAGATTTCATTGAGTTCCATGTATGTGATTAAGGATTTATTACGTAACAGATTAATCAGATTAATCCACACTTCTTCCTTTGTTCTCTACCTTGTGGCATACAGCAAGCACTATTAGGATCACCTGCAAAACCTAATTTAATAGAAGAAACCAAACAAGACAGACTCTGTCCCATTAGGTGTCTATCTCTGTTCATCCTTCATGTCTTGCAAGCCTTTCCCACCAAACCCAACATGTGAATATCTCATGTTACATAGATATATTGTGATCATGAATACACCACCAGTAGAATTTCTTTGGTGAGTACTCATGACCGAATGTGGAGATGAAGTAACAGTCCCTACCCTTGACCCCACCCCCTACCTCCCCTTGCCCGGTCCTCCTTCCTGCCTTCCTTCCTAACCCTTTGCCTCCCTGTTGCTCTCCTCCCTCCCTTCCCTTCCGTCCATCCTTGCTCCTCTTGCAGGGCTGCTCCTGGCTATAGCCTGAAGAGCTCCGCCCATCCTGTCCACCCCTCTCCACCCTGGAGTCCTCCCCCAGGATGTTGAGCCCCATCCAGGTCCTGTGCTCCGACATCACTACCCTTTCTCTGGAGCCTGAGCCGTTTGCCTCTTACACTGAAGGTGTGTGCTCTATCCTCTTCTATCCCAAAGGTCGTATCTATGTCACACAGTTGCGCCACATGACCCCAAGGCGAGAGTTTATGTGTGTGCACCTGTGTGGGAGTGGTTGCATGTTGGAGTGTGTGTGATCAGGAGAAATGTGTGTTACTAAGCGTGTGTGAGCAGTTTGAGTAAGGTGAAATCTCACATAAGTCTGAGTGTTATAAATATCTTAAACATCCCTTTGTCTCTGTCTGTCTGCCTCATTCTTTTTGTGTGTCTCTATTTTTGTGCCTGCCTCTTTATTTTTAACCCAGTCTGCCTGCTTCAATATGGATGGGTGTGTATGTGTGATTGATTTCTTTAAATAGTTTAACCAGATGACACCCTGTCTCCTTCAAAGCAGAGCTATCTTATTTCTATTTTTATTTAATATTGAGGAAAGCACATGCAGACACCCACACTAATGCATATGAACATACAAGCTCTAAAGACATACACATATATCTGCGCAGACATCCACACATGCAGTGCTACAACTGAGGACTTTTTCATCCTCAAATCATGTGCCAATTATTTTTTCAATTTACCCATTAACTGTGTGACGAAATAATGGGGGAAAATGGGTTAGGGTTAGGTTTTGAAAATCTGTCTCGATAGGGTTATTTTCTATGTTTTGTTCTGAAAATTACTTAATAGTGCAAAAAAATATGACTACATTTGACTAATCTGCTTCATCAACTCTCCATATATAGCTTGTGAGAGAAGGACAGCTAAAAAGGGCAAATGTCCTTTAAATGAGGGATTATGTTTCAACATTTATGAGGCGTCGACACATAATCTCAGTTTTCAATATCACCGGGGTTAGACTGGGAGTAAACTAGCTAAGCCCCTAATCTTTTTTTTACGCTACAGTCTCACAAATCTGGTGGAATTGATTTTTATCAAAAGCGACATTGCAGATTTGAGAATTCACGCTTTTAGAAGAGGTTTTTGCAACTAGGTATAGCAGGATTACAGGTGTATTCCACATGCGCTAAAGCTGGCTTGATTTGTGATTCTAATTGTTTGTGTCTATAACCATTAGGCTCACACCAGCTCTGCTCCATTGTGCCGATGTGTTTGGAGAAATCGCAGCTTCCCTGCTGTGCTGGGCTTAAATCACTCCTCTCCACACATGTGCACCTCTAACACAAACACATGCACCAGTTTGGGGTTTTTTTCCCAGATAACTCCAAAACTGCAGGACAGGGATCAATTTAACGTCTCCCTCCGGCAGTCTCTCCCCCTCCCCTCGCCTCCTTCGCTCCCTCCTCTCCCTCCAACCGGTTTATTTCTCTACAGGGTAATTGAGTACACACACTTGTGCACACGCACACAGGAAATGCTGGGTGCTTGAGCTACAGCAAGCACACACACTCACCAACACACACAGATCTCCTGCTGAGTGGTGGCTTGTCCTTGCTTTTAAGGAGTGTGTGTTTTTGGCTCAGCTTTAATGGTCTGTGTTTACCCAGTCCAAAGATATCTATAATTGGGACTGTAGGACGTCTGCTCCCTTCTCTGTCCCTATAGAAACCTTAACAAAAAAAATAAGGAATTCCCCCTCCCTGTGCCTTTGCCACCACCCTCATATATTTCATAAGCCTCCTCTCCTCTTCTCTGTAATGCTGCCTTACCTAATTTTGTAGCCTTAATGTGCATAATACATTTATATTATCATTAATATTTTCATTATACAGTATATTACTTAACTCACAATAGCCTCAGTTAATCATTTACTTTTTTTCTTTATAAAACCTCAGTTCTTCACTTTACTTGCTACAAATTCTTGCGATTTAAAAGCTGGAATTGTCTTTGTTATTTATATCATATCAATTATCTCAATTATTGCAGAATTTTCTGACTGACTAATTAATAGACTGATCACCTCCGCTCTGTCAGTTATTTTTATTACTAGTGGTGCCATCTACAAAAGAAAATGACAACATTTCAAATTTACTTGTTTTGTTCAAACAACATCCACATTTTATTTTTTTTTACAATGATATAAAACACAGGAGAACATTTTTGCAAAACAAACTACTTAACTTAGACACAGTAAATGACTAACCAAAGTTGAGTCATTTTCTGGTTGGGGTTCGATTGTGTTGGGTTGTGATTGCCACAAGGTGCTTTTTTTAACATGTCATTGAGTTCATTCATGTTTGTGTGTTGTTTTGTGTTGATCTGTACTGTATGTGTGGGCGCATGCACTTGCAGTCACAGTGTGTTCCCTCAGCTTCTGCAGTGTGGCAATGAGTCAGACAAGCCTGCTGATGCTAATGGACTGTCTGTGGGAGACAGATACAGCTAGCTTGCTATATTGTAACACGCACGCATCTTCATCATAAGACAATGACTTACAGTTTGACAATGCAACGCGTGCACATTCATATTGCACAGTGCGCTGGACAGTGGCGCCTTTTGGAGGCCAACCACAGCACTCACGATGAGGCTTGTTCCCGCAGCAGTTCTTTGTATTGTTAGTGGTTTATTTTTCTGTAGTGTTCTAATAAGGAGAGTGAAAGAGACAGATGGGTGTGAGTTTTTTGTGTGTGTGTGAGCACGAGAGAAACACAAAGATAAAGGGGGTGGAGGTTGAGAAGAGAAAGAGGATGAGACAGGAGAGTGTGTGCTCCATATTTTATTCAGCTATGGTGTGTGCCGCTCCTGTGGTTTTGCTTAGCTTAGCTCTTTCTCTGTGTGACTTGACTGGAGACACGATTGGTTGTAAGTGTTCAGACGCTCACTCAGAGCATGAAGCGCACGCGTTTTCCCTGTTGTGCACATGTGTGTTTGTGAGTTTTACTGGATGCATAGGGGTCTGTGTGTGTGTGCACGTGTTAGTCATCTGTATATCCTCAATTAGGACCCCAACGTCTGACCCGTCTCCTGGTATTAATTGAACAACATTTGTTAGTGGACAAAACTGCAGCAGCATAATCATTTTACCGCGCTCCTTCTTCCTGCGAGGATTGGATTGATGAGTCCCACTTCCTCCTTCACCAGACTTCCATATACGGCTAACCGTTACGAGTACGGCTGCTACTGGTTGGCTCGGCACGTTACCATGGCAACCCCTACTCACCGGAGGACCCCTCTACCGCCTCCGCCCCGGCGCCTTTTCCCTCCACCTTCCTTTCCTATCCTTCCCATTCTTCCACCACCAGCATCACCACCACTATGTTACCGCTAACATACAGCCAGGCAGGCTGAGTGCTGTGGGGGAGGGATGAGAGAGGAAGGGAGCTGAATGTGCATAGACAAGCAAGAAGAAAATGAAAGAGTGAAATGGGGCAAAAGAGAGAGATTGGGGGAGAAGCGATGAGAGATGACAGCAGAGCATGTGGGGGGAGAAGGATCAAGAGAAGAGGAGATAGCATAAAATAGAGAGAAGAAATTGAAATTGAATAATATAAAAGATATAAGATAAAGATACTGCACCACCTGAGAGAGCAAGAAATGTGAGAAACTCAACGAAACATGAGAAACGAAATTGTAATAACCAGTGGATAGGTGACAATCACGGAGAAAGAGGTAACCAGTAAGACAGGAACAAGGTGAACAAGGTTGTGTTGGTGCAGAGATTGAAGAGCAGTCCCTGCCTCCCCTCATCATAAAGTCTCTCTCTCTCAAGGCCACCACAGAATAGCAAGGCTTTGAATCACTCTGACTCTCAATAAATACACTCTCCACGCTCTATTTTTATTACAGCGAAAGCTTATTGAGAGCCATGTTGTTTTTTTTTCGATCAAAACCGAGCACAGCGGATTTTTAAAGCTAGTCTATGATATTTTTGAAGATATTATTTGACTATTTGTTGGTGCAGTGGCAGATTTGATCTTTTGCTGCACAAAAATATCTGAGGCAGAACTGCTCTGGAGGCTACAGCACTGAGCTAGTCAAAATATATCTTCTTAATATGCCTGTGTGTTGTATTTTTTTTCTAGTTGTAAATAAAATGCCAGGAGAAACCAGTGGGAGCACGATTACCTAAATGTTATTTGAAAATAACTGTAGGGCTGAATGATTTTTGGGGAAAATGTCCAGTTGTAATTTTTCCAACAGATATTGCAATTGCGATTTGCAATATAATTCTTTAAAGTAAAGCTTCAGTTCAGAATTGACTCCGTAATAGTTTTTAACTATATGATAGAGCGTTACCACATGATACTATCAGAAGCATTACAGTCACATAAGGAGAATGGCACAAATTTGTTGAACCATTGACACAACAGTTGAAACCCTGGGATGTGCTGCAAAGTGTATATCCTATTTTGTGGCTTTTGTGATTTGGTAATTGCATTGTTGAGTCCTAAACGACAATAGTTTTGGAATCAGGGAGCATAGGTTTAAATGGTCAGCAGTTAGTATTCTGTCAGAATTGTCCAGTTTTTATGTTTCTTGTCTTCTTAAGGCTGACTCATTGTCTATACAAGGTTAGCAAACCTGGAAGTTGGACAAGTTATATGCAAACATTTTTATCTCCGGTGTTTTAGATGCTTTTATGATCACATCTGCAACATCTGGTCTCGAGCAAAAATTGTGTTTTTTTGCAAAATGCTGCTGCAGCAGAACACAGTTCCTACAGTAGCTTAGACAGTTGAAGTGGACGGTGTTCTAACCCAGTCAAACTATGATGTGTGCAACCAAAGAACTTAGTGACTTTCAAGATGATGGAAAGACAGCTTCTTGTAGACGGAGTTAGGTAAGAATATAACCTGTGTAGCTACAGCCATCGGCCATTGGCCACCTTTTGCATAGCGTAGACAAAAGACGCAAACAGCTAGCCAAGCTGTATGTAAAGTAAATAAAAAAACAGCCTAGCAGCACCTCTCGGGCTCTCTAATCAAGACTTTCTGTGTTTTTTGTTTATTCTTTACAAAATCAAAAGAGGAAAAATGTGTAGATTTCTGGGAAAGAACATGCTGGAAATATATTGTGTCAGTAACTTTATGGAGCTGGAGCTGGAGCTGGTTGCCTAACCTTCTGGCTCAATAACAAGACTGTGGGAAGCCAAGAACTTTTCCTTTAAAGTAACTTCATTAGCAGTGAGCTAATTTAGTCAATCTTGAAGAAAGATGCAAATTCAGCATCTGCTCCTTATGAAGTGAACACTCTGTCATGTTGACAGGAGGCATGTGAAGACAACAATGTATGGAATCAGTTTGATAAACTTAAGAATCTGTGCAGTTGTTTTAACTGTGGCTGATTTTGACCATTTTGAAGATTATTCATTGATTGCCTCTGCAATCAGCTTCACCAGCAACTGTCTGTCCTTAGCACAGTCTTTGTGTTTACAAGTTTGCAGAGCACAACTAAAGTCAACACTCAGTTCAATTCTGTCCATAAACAGACTTGATTGTTTTGGATTTTTATTTCATTTTGGTCAAATAAATTAAGCCTAAAGTGTTGGCATTTTAAAAAATTCATCCATTCGCGACCATGCAATTAATAATTTTGCAGGAAAACCTAGCTTAGCCAGAGTAGTTTGTTTCAATATAAGAGTCTGAGACCTAATATTACTTGATATGGCCTTAAACCAGGTTAGCTACATCCCTACAAGCAAAACCTTATTGTTGAAGCTCTGTCTGTAATCACTTCAAAAGAGGTTTAACCACTGATACTGTTTTTTGGGGGGGTTTTTTGGCCTGTTGAGCAGTTTTGTCTTTAAATAGTTATTTACAACTAAATCTTCAATCTGCTGCACAAAGGGGTAGGTGAAAGGAGGATAAGAAGACAGAAGGACAGGAAGCAGATTACATGCAACATTAAACCAGATTCAGGCCTCCAATGTAACGCTCACACAGCCTTTGTTATAGAGCACAACTGAGTGCTTGCAGGAGGTACCACTGAAAGCACTCGCTCAGTACAGTAAATGCTAAGTGGTTAATAATGTACTCACTCCCCATATTACTGTGTTGTAATTTTGTCAGATTGTGTTGATGTTTAGGGACACAGAGCTTGTGATGTGGAATTTGTCGCAGATATACAAATTAATATAGAAAAAAAACAATATTTGACTGATGTTTAGTCACTAATTCAGACACACAGGTGTAAATGCTCTTCAGATACTATGGCGCTTGTAGAGTACACATTTATCCCTGCACATGATGAACTCAAGTGACACTAATCTTGTGCGTCATTGTCTATGTGTCATCGTCGAACACGGATAACACCTGTGCCTGCTGTGAAACAGCTGTGTGTGCGTGTATCTTTGATTTTCTGCATGTTTTGATGGACTGATATGTTCTCTATAATGTGCATTCTCTCTTAAAGCTCAGGCACAGTTGCATAGTCTTTGTGTTAGTGATCAAATATTGTTTTACTCCACACATTAATTTGCATATTCTAATCCACTTACATGTTAATGTATCGACTGTTTGTTTGGTTTGATAATTTAGAGTCAGATAAACATTATGTAGATGAATGATGATGTGGGGTCAATTAGCTAATGGCTACCCTCTTTCTCTTTCTGCCATCTCTCCTCTCATACATCTCTCCCTCTCTCTCTGTCCTCTTGCTTTCTCCTTCTTTATCTTGATGTGTTGCTCTTCCCAGCTGATATCATCTCTACTGTTGAGTTCAACCACACAGGAGAGCTCCTGGCCACAGGGGACAAAGGAGGCCGTGTGGTCATTTTTCAGAGGGAACCTGAGGTAGACACACACACACACACACACACACACACACACACACACACACACAGACGTTCACATACTTATACAGTACACTCAAATAATTTTTCATTCCAGCTGTGGGAGTAGTGATGAATGCACTCTGTTCCCCTCCAGCTACACTCTAGATTGGTTGATAAATAGTTTATGCCCCTGCTGTGTCAGAGTGTATCATTCTAGCAGTTCAGAGTTCATGCCATGCTGTTTCTTCACATGATCAAGGTTAAGGTGACTGAATCAGGTCTAGAATGTTACATTCCACTGTGACCGTACAACATGCACCAGTGCATGTTTTCCCCCTCACACTTTCACATACTTTTTATTTCATTTTTCTTGTTTTCTTTCTGCAGAGCAAGACTGAGCCATTCTCCCAGGGAGAGTACAATGTCTACAGCACCTTTCAGAGCCATGAGCCCGAATTCGACTACCTTAAGAGTCTGGAGATTGAGGAGAAGATCAATAAGATCAGATGGCTGCCTCAGCAGAACGCTGCACATTTCCTCCTCTCCACCAATGGTGAGAGACTCCCACATGCTTACACATCTTAGAAGAGCCTGGAAGCTGTGAAAGTAGTGATGTGATTGACTGATAGTTTGGGGAACACACTTTACATGAACCTGTTTAAATGTTTTTAAAAGGGATTATTTTTAGCTAACACGTCTGAGATATTGTTGTTTCTCCCTTAACCTTTTCCATTTAGGATGTACTGGCCATATTTTTAAAAACATGAATGACCACTTTTAAAGGTCGCTGTGTGTGACACACTCGTCTGTTCAAAGCTCTCCAAATTGTTAAGATGGAGAGGCCTTCTAAAGCTATGATGGCTAAAATGGATGTGGCATTGTTGGGGTCTTTTCTATGGCATTGCTAATGGTAGTGTTCCACTACAGAACTAGTGAATATGATCAATTAGCATCTACTGACTCAAGTGTTAAACACTCTCTATTTACAGTTTTGATTAGGTGGCAGTAAAATAGTATGTTTATATATTTTTTTAACTATACAAGTTCCTTTTCCAACAAGGCTAAGGTTGTTAATTTTTGCATTACAATTGTGAAACTATCACTGATTGAATTTGACTGTGTTTTCTCAAGCATGTTTGTGTGAGCAAAGGGCATTGTGTAATTAAGACCTTTATTTGAGTTTCTTAAGTTAGAGGCAGATTTTCTCTTGGCTAAGTAGAGAGGAGTTGCTGCTTGTGCTGCATTTCTGTAGTGCATTAGGATCTGCGATTGTCTTGCTTGGCAGAGAGTTCCCATTTTACAGTTTACATTCAGAGTTTTATGGCTATATTGGAAGATCTATAGATTTACCCTGAGAGCCCTGTCATTGATTTCTTTAAGTACTATATTATTTATAATTGAAGGTATAAAAAATGGAAGACCTGCTTCAGCAGTTGGGTAATAACGCTGCCGAGATGCTTGCTGTCATTTTTTCAGTATAATACAGAGCTGCCTTTCAAGTCTGACAGTCTGAAGTGTGGTGGATTAGATTGTCTTTTATGTCATTGCTGCTGGGTTTATTGAATGGATTTTTTTGCTAAAATCCTAAAACAGCTTATTTGAAGGTTTTAGGCTTTTAGCTCAACCAGCTAGAGATGAAATCCTATATTTAGTTTGCTCTGATTGTTTTAATCACATCTAATCTGAGATCCAATCTGATCTGATCTTCAGATATATTCCTAACCTTAAAGCGTTTCAACAAGCAACTTTTATTCAGTAGTTACACTTTCACATTACGTTTGTTCTTATCAGATTTGTTAATGGCCCTGTCTGTTTCCCAGATAAGACCATTAAGTTGTGGAAGGTGAGTGAAAGAGATAAACGGCCAGAGGGATACAACCTGAAGGATGAGGAGGGTCGCATCAAGGACATCTCCACAGTCACCTCCCTACAGGTATCTATCTATCTATCTATCTATCTATCTATCTATCTATCTATCTATCTATCTATCTATCTATCTATCTATCTATCTAATACACAGGTTGGGCAGTAAAACTGGGTCAGTGGGTACAGATGTGTTTGCATGTGCAAAAATGGGTCACTGGAACAAGTTACATGCGAGTATGTGTGTGTGTGTGGGGGTGGTGAAATCCTCTGTTTCCAGCTACACAGAGCAGCAGCACAACATCTGCACACAATCTAAATTAGTCAAAGTGTTTCTATTAACAGGTAAATCTTAACTCATAGTGTGTCCCTGTGTGTGTATGTGCTCATACAGTATGTTTGTCTTTGTGGAGCTCTGAGAACATGCATTTATATGGTACCTTATGTAAAATGTTTTTAAAATGTAAACATATATCGACAAAGATTTTATGAAAATATGATTCTGAAAATGCAGCAAATGAGCTTTAAGTCAAACTTGAATTGCCTCTTGATCTTGCCATCAAGCAGGGACATTTGGGTTCTAGCAGTTATGTATTATTGATGTCAAAGGAAGTAATGCATTAAATATTCATTTATGACACAATAAAATTATTTCAATTTAATCTACTCTCTGCATCTTCACCATCTGTCTTCTCCTAAGCAGTTACAAGGGATGTTAAACTACTCTTGCTTTTGGCTTTTCCCAGGTGCCAGTGTTGAAGCCCATGGACCTGATGGTGGAGGTCAGCCCTCGGCGAGTATTTGCCAATGCCCACACCTACCATGTCAACTCCATCTCCGTCAACTCTGACTATGAGACCTACATGTCAGCTGATGACCTGAGGATCAACCTCTGGCATCTGGACATCACTGACCGCAGCTTCAGTATCCTTTGTGGGTTGTTGTGCATAGTGATCAGAGGAGATTAAGACTAACATCTGCATATGCATTCATGCTGATTTGAGCGTGAACACAGGCTCAAACACAGGAAAGGCAAAAGCAGGAATAGATTTATTAAAGCACAAGGACACCGATAATTAATGCATACATTAACACATGGATGCTTCTACATGCTGGATAATCAGTTCCTGCCCACACACACATAACAAACTCCTACATTGCAAATCCCACTTTGTTGTTTAAAGAAATGCACAAAGACACACTGTGCTGGGGGAGGGGAATATTATTCTTGAGGAGTGAAAATGTATCTTAATGAATAATTCAGAGGCTGCATAAATATTTCAGCCTCTTTCTGAGGTCTAATCCAGCTCAATAGGACACAGTACAGTCACAATCCTGACCCAGACAGGATTTATAATATTACAATTTATCTGAATATGGAATTAGTTTTCTCCCAACAATTCCCTCAAGATATATTTATATTGGTTTGCTTTATTCCTGCTGTAAATTATTTGCATTGTGTTGGCTTTGTATACATTTACATACACTTATGGTTTTATTTTGCATGTAGATTACGGGCCTGTGTGGGCTTCCACATGGATTAAAACATAGTGTAATTAGTTTTAAATTGAGTCAGATAGTGATTAAAATTGATAGAAGGATGAATGTGTAAATAATTAATGAATATCTGCAGTACACACACGGTATGGTGGCGATCATGCCAAGTAGCGGCTGATATAAACTGCAGGGCCTGAGAAGCTGACTCTTTGTTGTTTCCCTGAGCGATGCCGCTTTCTATCAGACATTGTGGATATCAAACCAGCCAACATGGAGGATCTGACAGAGGTGATCACAGCGGCGGAGTTTCACCCCCACCACTGTAACTTGTTTGTCTATAGCAGCAGCAAAGGCACCCTGCGCCTCTGTGACATGAGAGAAGCAGCCCTCTGCGACAAGCACTCCAAATGTGAGTAAACCTGCTGAGAGGCAGAATGGAGATATAAATGTTCTGTTTTGTAACTGTAGTCTATCTCGCGGAGGATCTTAAGAGGATCAAAATGTCTTTTTCTGGTAGTTTTGCATGTTTTATCAGAAAAATTACATTTTGCTGAATAGAAGTTTGACAGCATACTTGTAAGTTTTAAGAAGAATGTCCTAACCTTTACAGGCAGCCATAAGTTTCAAAATAAATCACTCATTGCTTTAGATTCTACCAGCACATTTCGAACCACACTAGCAGCATGGCTTCAGGAGTGGCAATATTGTGCTGTTGATTGATTCACCACTTTCATCTCAACTGAAATATCCTGAAAACTACAGAATGAAATATTCATGTTTCCCAGAGGTTAACTCCTAGCAACTTTGGACATCATATGATTTTTCCTCCAGTGCCTCCATGAGGTTCACATTTGTGGTTTTGATGAAATGTCTTGACAACTTCTGGATGGATTGTCATAAAATTGGCTACACACATTTATGCTCCCTTCAGAATAGATTGTAATGGTTTTGGTGATGCCCAGACTTTTCATTTGTCACCATCATCAGGTGAAAACTTCATTTTGTCCAACATCTTGGTTTATTACCAAACACCTGCAAAACCACATTCCGTTAGCCTCATCTGTACATTACGTTTACTTCTAATTGCTAAATGCGAACAGGATAACTAAAATGGTGAACATTGTGCCTGATAAATATCGTCATGTTAGCATTGTCATTGTGATTATGTCAGCATGGTGATGTGAGCATTTGGCTCGAAGCACTATTGTGCCCACTGAGAGCCTCACAGAGCTGCTAACATGGCCGCAGATTGTCTTGTTAAAAACCTACTTGCGTGAAAATCACTTTGCAGAGACTTGCTTGAGGTACCTAATCCATCACAGTGGATCATTATTATTAGTTCTCTCCGTTTATGTGTCATTTTCTCATTAAGAACACACACTGTCTAGACAGTACACACTGAGTGTAGTAGTCACATCTGTAAAACCTCATAAATGCTTAGTTACTGAGTGATCTGAAATCTAAAGTCTGAGAAGTTTGGTTTCCCCACAATGCACTTTTTCCTTTTTGGACTCGTAATAGCATTTCTTAGCACCTCAGGTCTGTTCTTCCATTAATATAGAAAAGGGCCAGTTTCTTCATAAATCAGCTGTTCTTAAGGGGCAACAGTACAATTCATGGTACAATTTTTCTTGTATTTTAGATCCATGGCCTCCAACCTTTCTTTTCTTTTTTTCCCACTCTTTGTTCCTGTTGAAATGTTTTCCATTTGATTTACAGCTTTGACCATGAGTCACTAGTGCAGTGTTGCTGCACAAGCTGTGCTCAAGAAGCAGCTATTGCTTTCATGTTTGTCTGTTATATTCACTTTTAGATGAATTTTAATTGATCTCTTTGACATTGGCTGATGTTTATACACAGAATATTCCCACAGTGACACTTGCACAAGAAGAAACTGAAATTATTTGTTTGGTATCACTTTCCCAACATATATATCTGTGTTTCTGCCTTGTATTTGGTTTAACAGTACTCACCTTTGTCTCCCTCTCTCTCCTTTTATCTTTCCCACCCCCTCCAGTATTCGAGGAGCCAGAGGATCCCAGCGCTCGATCCTTCTTCTCTGAGATCATCTCCTCTGTGTCTGACGTCAAGTTCAGCCACAGCGGCCGCTACCTGCTCACCAGAGACTACCTGACTGCAAAAGTCTGGGACCTCAACATGGAGAGCAAGCCCCTGGAGACGTACCAGGTGGGTGACTGAAAATGCATGAAAAACATGAGGCAGTGTTAAGAAACACCAGAGGGAATATTGCCTATCATACCAGTTAGTATAATGAGATTTCTGTATTCCAAGGAGGACATTTGGACAAAGTGAACTGATTAATAGTTAAGCTGGCCAAAAAATGGGAATCCACTCATGTCCACAGAGTCAGGCATCACTGGAGATCACAGCTGGTTCAGTGTTAGCTGCTTTGATAACTACAAATACACTATGCTGTGGTCTTTGCAGTCACCAGATCTCCACCCAGATAAACACATTCGGACCGATCTGTGTTATACTCTCCACTACCATCAAAACTACGTAAAGTTTTTTCCTCCACTGTGTTCATCATTGCAGTCCAGTAGGACAATCTATTCCAAACAGCTCTGTACTTGCTCTTGTGGCTTGTGGTGACCCAGTGCCTTACTAAAACACTTACCGGAGCTTTCAGCAACAAATCAAGCTATACATTAGAAATGCTTGTGTTAAACGCTCACTTCCTCGATGTAAGTGAAATCACAGTTGTGTTGTACAAACTGCTGAGTGACTAACTGTCTCTTTACTGAAAGAAGGCATTGTCATCCTAGAAAATATGCATGACTAGAGACAGAAATGAATCATGGACAGAAGGGTGCCTCTCACAATCACAGTGCTTACTGATGATTAGATTTTCCCAAAACCTTTTAAGGATAATTGAATTGATTACAGGCCAGAGAATGCACTTCTCTTCATAAGACCCTCACTGAGGCCAAAGTTTTTAACTTTGGACGACAACAACCTCTAAATATTTGTGTGTTCCGACAAATGCAAAAGTTGATTATCAATATGCTATGCATGTTTAGGATAGAGGGTCTTAACATGCTGTTTAAAACGTACACATACAACAGTAAGTACTAAGCTGAGAAAATAACTTCTCTTCTGTTTGTGCATGCTATCTTTCACAACCTCATTTATCTCTTGTGTCATTTATAAATGCGTACAATAGGTCACACCGGCTTCTGTTTATGCATGTATTTGCAGTAGAAATATTTCTCAACTCTTTAATTCAATATGTGTTCAGTATTCAAGCCTCGGGCGTGTGGGTGAACATGTGTGTTTGTGTGTGTGTGTCTGCCTGACGTGTGAGGTCCTATGAGGCAGCCAGGAGTGGGAGGCTAAGACGCACTGGAGCTATTTATAGGCCGCCGAGCCTCCACTCATAGAGTAAAGCGGGAAGGAGGGATACCTTACACAGTGCCTGACACCTAGATCTGCAATGCAGCATGGAGAGAGAGAGAGAGAGAGAGAGAGAGAGAGAGAAGGAAGGGAGAAGGAGGGAGGAGAGGGGTGAGGGTTTGGGAGGGATTGTGAGGATAGCGTGATGAGAGCAGGAGAGACGAAGGAGGAGAGGGTAAACGATAAGATGAGAGTGAGGGATGGCAGAGGTTGCAGTTTACATTGGCAAGAAAAGGAAAGTAAACCCTTTGGAATTATCTGCATTAATGTATGAATTTATCTTCATCCATGTTACAGTTATGGACAGTTATTTTAACTAATAAATCACAAATTATTGTGTTGTTCTTGTCCGTACTTAAAACATCATTCAAACATTCCGAGTGTAAGTTGGAAAACGTATGTGAATCTTAAGGCTGATGAAATGAACAAAAGCTAACCAGAGTCAGTATTTAACAAACCTGTAGTCTAGTGAACAAACAAGAATGGAGTTGTGGGTTAGAGCCACGTTGACTTATAAAAAACTCCTCAACATTTTGAGCTTGCTGTTAATAAGAATCATCTGCTGATGGGATTGTGTGTAGCTAAAAAGAGATCTCAGACCACTTAGGATCAAGCTTCGCTGATGTGCATTAGGATGGAAAGTACCAAATTGTCTATAAATGGAGATGATTTAGTTACTGTGGCTGCTCTCTGTAAAAGTGGGCACCCAACTAAAATTACTCCACAAGCACAACACAGAATGCTTGACAGTATTAGGAATGTGTTTGGTGAACTGATAAAACTACGACTGAATTGTTTCGGAGGAACATACAGCACGATGTGGCATAAAACAGGACACTACACATCAACATGAAAACATCATCCCAGACCTGGTATAATACAGCAGATGGAGCATTTGGGGCTGCTTTGCTGCCTCCAAACCTGGACAGCTTGCAAACATTGATGGGAAAATGAATTCCCAAATGTAATAGAATATAAGCTGGCTGATACAGCAAGACAGTGGGCCTAAACACAGAGATAAAACTACTACAGAATCACTTCTGTATGAAGAAAATTCCCCTATATGAGTGGCCCAGTCAGTCAAGAGAGCCATTTCCACACATAGCTCAAAAATGTGACTGAACTGAAGCAGGTCTGTAAGGAATGATACACTAATATTATTCCTGAATGCTGTGAAGACCAAAAGCCACCAGAAACACTTGTTCGAGGTTACTGCAAGCAAAGGATCAGTTATTTATTCAAAGAGTATTGTTTTAACAAGCACTGTGAATGTTTATAAATGGATGTGTTCAGTAAAGACAAGAAAGATTATCATTGTTTGTGTCTTATTATCATGAGCATGTTGTGTTTATTTACACATCGATGAAGATCAAACGACATTTAATGCCCCATTAATGCAGAAAACCAGCTCATTCCAAATAGCTTGCATACAGTATTTTTTTCTTGCCACTGTATGTTGGTAAATAGATTAAACTGTATGAGGCTGGGGAGAAAAAGGATATCAGGGCTAAACTGCTCTTTTTCCGTGCATGTACTCTCTTATTCCTCCTGGAACATGAAAAATATGCACAGATTCATGAGCGATGAGGCACTGTACACGAAATCAGAGATCATGTGTGCTGGAAAAAAACAAAAAAAAAGACTGTATATTCAGCTCCAGCTGACAGTGTATCATTTCACCCCCATGCAGAAAGACCCATAGGGGAAAACAAAAATGTCACCGGGTTTGATGTACAACCATGAGACGACCTCAGCTTGACCGTTCATTGATTGTAAGGCGGCTGTTGACTGCTGACTTTATGCAGAATGCGAAAACCAGGGGCTTAATGCGGAGCACTGTGGCTGGAGGAAGGTGTAGATTTCAACCCCTTGCATCACCGAGCAGACACAGTGCTGACAGAGGCAGGTTGAATGAAAGCACGAGGGAGAAGAGTTATTAGTCAGTGAATATGTGCGTGCGTTCATATGTGTGCCTCTATTATCATGCCCTTGGTGGATGTGATAATAGAGAGCGGGATGTTAATGGATTTAGCGAAATGGAAAAGGAGTTTAGATTAAAATGTACTCTTGGCCCTCGTATTGCTGAGGGCTGGTGTTGTGTCTTATTAGTGTTGCCTTCGGGGAGGTTTGTGTTACAGCTTGCCCACATTTAATGCGTTTAGTCTCTGCTGAGTTTAGAATGTGTGTGCCTGTGTCTTCTGCTCACTCTTCTATTTATAGTTTACGCTACAGAGTCAATACCTGAGAGTCAAGCATCTGTGTGTTGGACTCATTTTTAATCATTTCTCTGTGTGTGTGTGTGTGTGTGTGTGTGTGTGTATGTATGTATTCCTCCAGGTTCATGATTACCTCCGCAGCAAGTTGTGTTCCCTTTACGAGAACGACTGCATCTTTGACAAGTTTGAGTGCGCATGGAACGGCTCAGACAGGTACGTGATGTGTCTGGATGTGTTTTGTCTCAGTGTTTCTGTGCTTCTGTACTTATTGTATGAAAACGAAGTGTCCTGAGGATACGTGGAAACTGGTCCCTATGTATATTCTTTATGGGGCTGCTGATTGAAAATAAATGGGTCAGGGTTTTCTGTTCAATCAAATACTCAACATAGAGGTATTTTGTTATACAGTCGTGACTCGATAATCCGACACTAAATGTAAAACCTTCTTTTATGTCTGATAACAAGGCTGTCGAATTGTTAAGACGGAGGTCAAGATACAAGGAGTGCTTGATGCTTGAAGGGAAATTTGTTGTTAATTATTGTTCATAATTGTTATAATAACTAGTAGGACTGGTCCAAACAGCACCTTCTGGTCTCTGGATATTCAGATATTAATGATGAATATCCCAATATTTAGTGCGGTCAGGGCGGACACTTCCACCCAAGGGAGTGCTCCGACGGGATGGAAGTGGCCGGAACGCACAGGCAGTACTTGGCTGCTGATGCTAGTTTAGTTAGTGGTCACAGTAGTTCTGTTTGCACCATTGGTGGTGGCGGCGGCGCCACCATCCATGTTTACTTCCGTAAACACTGAGCACGCTCTCTGCGTGTGACGTCGTTGTGTCCTTTTCTGCAAATGCGGGACACTTTTGGGTCGTATGAAGTTCACACAGGAGCATACAAGTCACATTTAATTGGAAATGTGAACGAACTTGCAAAAAATCGTATTTCACAAAAAAATCCGAATTGAGCATCAATCTGTTGGATTGTTAAGTCAGACAATACATCGTTATCCTTATTTGTGAAATAAAATGTCATGTCGGAATCGGAATCCAAGGCTGTTGGTATGTTAAGGCTATTTTTAATGGGTTCCATTCATTTTTCCTAAAAACCTGTCGGATAGCAAGGTTTTCGTATCGTTAAGGGTTGAATTATTGAGTCACGACTGTAGTTTAATGTTCTCTTTATCCTACAGGACTTAGTTCTTTTGAAAGCATAGCTTGACTTCAGTGCATTTTTGTTTATTAACCAGAGAAGCTATTGCTGGTCCACCTTTTTTGTCTTAACAGCTGTTTGATGGATTGCTATGAAATAGTGTTTAGAGATTCATTATCCTGAGAGGATGGCTCCTAATAACTTTCACACATCAATACGAAACACATACAAAACCACCAACCTCAACCTCATGAGCAAATGTTAACATTCTAAAAATCTGAAATTGGGGAATCCTGGAAACTTTGTCTGCTAAACACCATCATGTTAACATGCTATGTTGAGCATGTTAGCATTTAGCACAGCCTTGTTGTCTTGTTGTGAAGTTGCTTTTGAGTTTTTTTTACCTAATTTTTCAGTGTTGTTTGCGCAAATGTTATTTTAATCACCTCTTCAGAGATATCTCAAAACCTGTGCACTTAAAACTGAAACTATTTGCATGACGATATATGACTCGAAAAGAAAAAAACACCTTTTTGTAATTTGGGTGAACATATGCCTTAAATGTAGGACTTTAGCTTGTAAAGTTATTATGAAATTACTACAGTCAGCAAATAGTTTGAATCACTGGTTGTAGACTTTAGTTATAAAGCTGCCATTTTTGCTGCGCATTTTACGTGGCTTTCTACTTCCCTTCTGCTATCTACATGTTATTGTTTTAAAATCCCCACAGCTATGGGAAATAACATCAGCCACAAAGCTAGCAACCTACACATGAAAAAGGCAAGCTTTGCTAAGGTTTTAAGTCATGCAATAAGGCAGCCCTTCTTGTGTTTTCATGAATTAACTATTTTTACAACAGTGCTTGCCTCCCTGCATGCAAATGGTCCAGCAAAACATTTTCCCTGACACTATTTTGCAGGGGCACTGTTGCTGCATCCTGGGCTTAGCACCACCCAAGATGATTGTGATTGGTTCAAAGAAATACAAAAAAAATGCACAATGATGATAAGGTGCAGCCAGACCATTCTTCAAGGTTGAGAGAGCACAGTGGAGAATGGTCCGGCTATGCAAGACTAGACAACAAATGTCCTCCCAACACTTACATCCATTAACTATACCGGCTGATCCTTTACAACACAGAAAAGAGAATTAAAAATACCTAGTCCATAGTAACTGGATCTCTCCTCCTGTCTGTCCAGTGTGATTATGACCGGAGCCTACAACAACTTCTTCCGAATGTTTGACCGCAACACCAAACGCGACGTGACCCTGGAGGCATCAAGAGAGAGCAGCAAACCCAGAGCTGTCCTGAAGCCGCGAAGGGTGTGCGCCGCCGGAGGAAAGCGCCGGAAGGATGATATCAGTGTGGACAGCCTGGACTTCACCAAGAAGATCCTCCATACAGCCTGGCACCCGACTGAGAACATCATCGCCATCGCTGCCACCAACAACCTGTACATCTTCCAGGACAAACTCAACTCTGAGATGCATTAATGAATGGATGTCAGCGGTGGATACAAATGAGTTTACACCCGAACACACAACTATGCCAGAATGTCCACATTACCAGACACTCTCTCACACACCCGGGAAGATGCCTAAACACACAACCCCCAACACAGTTAGAACGCATACACAAATCTAGGTCTACAGTTTCACACACTCCTTCACCCCCTCCTCAGCCTCCCAGAACTGAAAGGACCTAGACAGGGCTAGGAAGGGAACAGGCTGGATTACGCAATGGATTATGGATTGCAAAATTGTCCGAACTGTGGATTTCCTGATTGTTAGCTTCTGGATTGTGCTTGATGGTGTGTTGATTGCTACAGCTCAGCTTCTTAGGGGATCAACCCTCTACAGACTGGAGAGACGTTTACATGTTTGTCTTTTTTTTGTTTGTTTGTTTGTTTTATTATTATTATTCAGGCTCTTTTGCTTTCTCCACCTCCTCCTCCTCTTCCTCCTCCTCCTCCTCTCTTCTCTGTATTTGTGTGCTCGAGCAAAGCCTATTCTTATCCCTTGCCCACTGTTTTGTGTAACAAAACCCTTTGTGGTTGTCTACCAGCGGCACTGATGAGAAATGGGGCATTTATATAACTGGCTGTTTGTTTGATTTCAGATAAGCGATCCCACTTCTGTTTTTGTAACTTCTTGTTAAATGATGTTGATGATGATGGTAATTATGATGACGAAGAAGACAACGTAAAATGATATGTGCGTTGTGCAAGGATGAACTTGGGACCCTCCCCTAAACCCAAGTGCACCGGACGCCTCTATGCTCTCGCTGATTCAGGAGAGACGACCAACAACTGGGCTGCGTTCAGCGAGGTGAAGCATTTAAAGTCCTGCAGATAGAAGCAGAATTTAATAGATTATTACACTATGGCCTAACATGAGGACACACACTCATACCTGCTCCACACAGTGCGTTTCAGTGATTAATGTTTTCTCTGCTGAAACAGACCTAGACTACTCTGATTGTGGTTCCTGCTTCTGGTCTGGGGCTGTGTTGTGTGCTACTTTGACATTACTCAGATCAAGCAAAAATTGAAAAAAATTGAAAAAATAAAAAATAAATAATTACAACAATCAAGCAAAAAGATGCTGCATGTCAAACAGATTTAGCCTAGGTGTTTATAAATTGACTGACTGACTGACTTGGCTGCCTTCTTAACCGTTTAGACCCAGCTGTACAAAGGCTTCAGGGGCCCCGGGGCTCCTTGCAGCACAAGTAACCATAGATGACCGAGCTCTCCTACCTTTATTTGTGTCTTCGGACACTGAAGCATGTTTACCAGTGTTCGGTTCATACACCTACACGTACATTTTGAATGAAGCCGTCCACGAATCAGTTTCTACTCATTGAAACTGAGAACCAAGAAGAATGGGGAATGTTTCTGATTAATGTTGTACTCTAAAAGAAAAAGAAAAAATCAAAGGGCCTAAATGGTGTCTGTATATATCAGCTCTGTTTTTGACATGTATGAGTTTTTTTTTTTCTTTTTTTTTTAAAACCACCATAAACGGACTGAGGACTCGATCATCTGTATTGATGATTTCCTCCAGAGCTACAGCAGAGAGATGGTACTTTAATCTCTCCAGCCTTCCTCACTGATTACTTTGCTGATGCGCAGAAGCTTTTATTTTTAGAAAACAGCTTATTCTTTTATTTGTCCTTTTTTTGGGAACATCTGTCCGTCGTAATCCACGTCCTTACCAAACTAATGTTGATTCACATATTTTTGTGTTATAATGTATGTTGATGACAAAATTGTCAAACGGACAGTTATAAATAATGTTAATATGTTTTTTTCTGAATAAAGATTTCAACGAAATTGCATCCAATGAGCGTACAGCTGTGATTTTTATTGCAGTGTAATTATGTAGCCGGTGTTGCTGTGATGATGTTAATGTGCATCCTTTATGGCTTCAGTTTATGCCAGTCTATAAGTCATGCAGTCTGAGGCACCACCTAGTGTCACGACACACTTATTACATCTGGAGATAAACTGATCAGTCATCAGTGTTATCAAACTGTTGCAGCCATGCCCCCATTTGGAAGCTGCAAAAATGACTAGTTTTAGTTGTTATAACCAACTTGCAATAATTAAAATACACCATCATCTCCTGCTGTGACGGTGAAACATGCCAATTCATAGTTTAGGTTTGATGGATGTGTATTTTTAGTATTACAAGAGCTTCTTCCCTCATGTTTCAGGACTATTAACTCTGATCTAAATCCAAATCACAGCACCTCATCTCAAAGCCAAAGCACGATGGCACAATAACAATTTGTGTAAAACATATAAATGTACACACACACACACACACACAACTGCAATACATGTACACTGCACTTTAGTTTCAATCTTTTTACTCATTACTGTCTTTTTCAGTTTTAAAGGTTTGTTTTTAATCATTTCTTGTGGAACAGTTACTTTGCATTTTACTGCATGAGACAAAACTTAAATCTCATATCTCTTGAAGTTAGAAGTCTGTTCGTCTTGTACTTCCTGTCTTTTTTTTCTCTTTATCTTTCCATATGAATCTAATTTTCATGCTCTTTTCACAGCAGACCCTTTGACTTGTCGTAGTGTGAAAGTGAGCCAACAACATGCTCGCTACCACCAACCTGAAACTAAAACTGCTAAATGGATTTCTATAAATGTTAATTTTATGATTTACACCTGGACTTTTACTACGGCCATATGTCAAAATGTCTTCACCACAACACGAGTACAATAAGTATCTCTTGCTTACAAAGCCAGGACTAAAAGCCTGCTTCAAACTTTGACTTTAAAACTACTATAACGCTACTAATGTTTAATAAAAAAAAAAAAAAACAGCAAGAAGCAAATGTTTCAGCATATTTATAGGTCACAATATAGAAAACAGAAGTGACATACTAACTGAAAACACATCACTCAGGAACTCCAAATATTCAATATATTACATCCCTGCACAGCAGAGATGAAAAACAAGGGAGGAGAAAAAGAGAATGGTTAAAGAAAGAAATGAGAACAGAGAAAGCTGAAATTAACTTGGTGAACTGCTCTGTAATAAATAAAAGCTCGGCTGTAGCTGAGTGTTAAAAGGCATGATTTAGTCTATTCCCTCCCAAATTACCGTTTAACTCAGACTACTGTGTTTTACAAGGCACTTGAAAGAAATGAAGTAACACCAAACACTTTCGGAAATTACTTACTGGACATAGTGTATAATGTTAAACTATGAGTTGTGACAAGAATTACCACCTTTGTGTGTAAAAAAAAAATAAAAACAGCAACTTTTTCTTCAATAATAGCAGTCTGTCTATACAACAATGACAGTACAGTTCAACAGGGACACTGCATCATGTAAATACTGATGATTTTGGCCACCAAACATGTCAAGACACTGGCCAACATACAGAAACGTGTGTGTGCAGCAGACATAGTGTTTGTATAGCAATTCAAAACGACTTCATTAACAGGCTCACAATGGTGAGCATGCAGCTTACAGTAGATGAAATGTTTACCAACTGGGCACAGCTGAGGAGGTTTACATCACGTTTTTCCTAATGTAGTGTTAAAATAAATTACCTACAAACATCATTAGTTTGTGCTTCTCCCATTTGAACATTAGGTTTATCACATATACTCACATATTTTGGCTCAAAGCTATAAAAATGCAAACGCACACTTGCTGAATGTCTGAGGATCTGCCCACTCGTCTGACAGTAAGTAACTTACCAGTATTGCAATTCTCTTAAAAGCAGTTGTGCACAATCATCACTGTTCTTAGGCTGAAGATAGTATTATCATAATCACACATCTTGTCTCTCCCAGAGGTGTTTGCCAGATTCTTTTCCCCCTATCCTTCCTCCTGCGTCACAGCCTCTGTCTCTGAGTGCTGCTCTAGCTGAGCGGTCAGGAAGGGGTTGAAGAAGAAGTCAAAACCGAACTGAAGGGCGTTCTGGGCTGTGCGCCTCCAGTCGTGTTCGATCTTGTACTGCCTGCGGCTGGGAACGCGGGCGTCCACGCACGACATGCAGTGGATGGCTTTCAGTTCAAAAACGGGCCATTTGGAGCCTAAACGCCCCTCCAGTATGGTGCTGAACTCCACCAGGCTGCCTGTGCTTAAGTGTAAAAGCACAGACTTGAACTCATTACTAGCCCTCAGCACTATGTCCTTTGTCGCATCTTCGTCCTCTATGATTGTCCCATTCTTGGTCTTCCTCTCCAGCGGCATGCCCAGTGTGACTTCAAATTTGTACCGGTCGAACCGTTTGACGTGGCATTCATGCTTGGCCAGTTTTTTCAGTTTACAGAGAGGAGCCTCTGGAAGGGCAGGCAGAGGTTGGGGCTGGGTCTCATCACACAGAGGATACGGCTCACCATACAGGCACCGCATCCAGTCCCCTACAACTACAGGCAGCAGGTTGATAACCGACTGTGGCCCATTCTCGATGTCCGTCACACGGACGTACTTGAAGCGTCCTGTCCAGGTGACACGATGGCCTTCGAGGTGAGAGCAGAGAATCTGGGTTTGGGCCATGTTGTACTCTTTCCAGGCCAGAGGGCCGCACAGGTTACTGTACTCAGGCCACGTCAGGGTGGAGTTATACACTTTCATGCCTTCAGACCTGTAGACATACATCCAGCAGAAGAGCACCACGGCACTGAGCCACACCAGGATGAGCTTGACGATGCTGCTCCCCGACAAAGACCGAAAAACCGCGATGGGGTTGAGGCTGAAGCGAGTCCAAAGCCTCAGCACTACTGGCACAAAGCAAATAGTCAGTGTGACCACCATCTTAGTCAGCTCCAGGGTGAAAAACCATTGCGCTAACTGGATGACGAGCATTGCAGCCAGGCCCAATGAGAGAATAGGAAGGGCAAACAGGAAGAGGAAGTAGCCCACACAGGTGCGGATGAGTCCAATTGCAGAGGCATTATTGAGGAACACCAAGCACAGCTCACACCAGGTGAAGCAAACCAAGTAGGGCACCAGGCACAGGTAGGTGCCTTTAAAACCTCTTAGCTGGGCCATACGGAAGAGGAGATAGAAGAGGTGTCCGTATAGCAGCCATGGCATCCCCAGGTTTAATGCCACGATATCTCCGAGAGGCAAAGTGATGAACGTCATCCCAAAGACCCTGAGCAACCAGAGGGAGTCTGGCAGGAGGTGAGTGAGGGAGCACGCTCCCGAGAGGACTTCTGTGAGGAGGGCTTTACGGGCAAAGAGCTGAGCAGAGGCATGAAGGCTGAGGAAGGCAGTGATGGTGAAGAAGAGAGCGACGGCTGCCAGCTCAGAGCAGGGGATCCAGGATTTATCAGCAACGGGGAAGGAGAAGACTACAAAAATCACTGAGACCAGGAAATACCTGAGGGAAAAACACAGGATGCACTTACTCTGTTGTCTGCAGAAACCTTTTTAGTCACTTTTCTGTAATACGTGTATTTGTCAACGTGATTTAATTTCTCTGTTTTGGTTGTTGTTTTGTTTTTTTAGAAGAATACTTAACTGCTACACCACCTAAACCATATCCTGTCAATTTTCATGTTAAGTAAATTAAAATAAAAAAGCTATTCTTTGCATCTCAGTTATAGTAAAATTAGACCTTTTTTTGAAACCAACCTAAACCAACAAAAACCCCAAGTCTGTAGCTACGTGACAATAATCAACTGAAAAGCTGTAGTCAATCTAGTCAAACCGGAACAAAATCCAACTTTAAATGTGCAAAGACAACAGAGTAAACTGTAAAAATGAAAACAAAGGAAAAGAGTGCACACGTAATGAAGGTAAACAGGGAGGGGCTTACAGATAAGGCTCCAGATGGGTCCATCCAAAGTTGGTCTCAGCCTGCTCCAGATCAAGACCAGGTTCAAAGTGAGCCAGCAGGTCTGTCAGAGCCCGGAAGTTTTCCCATGCTTTAGAATTCTGTAGAAAAAGATGGGTTTTTTTTACATCTCTTCTTACTTCTTCAGATATGCAAATCTATTCTCCAAATCTAAAACAAGTTAAAAAGCTTCCATTTACACTTCTACATTGTCTATATTGCATTATTACAGATTGCATATTAATCAAGAACACAAAGTAAGAAAACAATTCAACATATCACTGACCTGAAATACACGCAGAGTGCAGATCACCATGGAGAAGAATGAGAGGTAGAAAACCAGCAGAGGGATGAGGAAGATGAAGAACTCGATAGTGAGGTTGGAGATGATAAAGAAGAAGATAAGCGCGTTGACGTGGTGGGTGGGGATCAGGGCGCTGAGCCACTGCATGCCGGCTCGTGACGCCCAGTCGATGAGATGCTCTTTTATCTCCAGCAGGGCGTACAGAGGAAACTTCAGCAGCTGAGGGAGCCGCGAGAAAGGAGGAGGACAGAATCAGCACATTGACAAACCCAAACCTGATTACACAAAAGACAGACTTCCTCTGCATCGTCTCCACAAGACAAACAATGGGACGACGGCCCATATTTATCAAACATGACAGACTCAAACCTCCTCCTAACAAGGACTTTAGAGTTATTTAGGGAAAGGATGGGATCAGTCAGTTGGAAAATTATCAACTATTAACAACTTTGCAGATGATCAAATAACAAATACCCAATATTCACTGGTTACAGCATTGTAAGAATTTGTGTATTATTTATTAAAAAGAAAGTTTTCAGCCATTTTATAAAAAAAAAAACTTGAACTGATAAAATAAATGTCAGACTAAGTGATGATAAAGACAACAAATCCAGCTGTTTGGATTGATGAACTGTTGGTCCACTCTCATAGTTCAGGTGCATCAGTGTCCCGTGTGCATTCAGATCCCAACGAACTAAATGCTTTCACTTGAGCAAATGAAAACAAAAAATGTGAAGCTACGCTCTCTATTGACACCTGACAGATTGTGACCTACAAGTACACACAGCAAACAAGAGAAAGGAAGGCAAATGATGGTACAGGTGTGAAAGAACATTTTTGTCACCTTTTGGTGCAGGGGCAGCTCATCTGGATTCTTCACTACTACATCATCGTCGTCATCATCGCCTCCTGCAGCAGCCATGACTGGTGACGGTGCGATACCCTGAGCATACTTCTTAGTCATCTCAACAAAGTCATCAAGACCCACATGGGAACTGGCTGCAGAGAAGAACAGAAGAAACTTTGCTTTGATCTTACTGTTGCCACGATTTCAATATTTTTACAGAATAAAAATAATGTATTTATTCTCCTTAAACATTTTGGGCACGACCTCAGGGGAAGAAATCAGAATTTATACATGACCAATCCAATTAGTAGCCGTGTTTCAGACCACACATACCCTCACTGGTGACCATCGTCTCCAGGACTCGCCTCTGTTTCTTAGCAGAGCTGTTCAGTGGACCAGGAGAGACTGGCGTGTCTGTAAATCAAGTACAGAAAAAGAAATTATTTGTCTGTTTAAAATCATAAGACTATATGAAGGGTTTCAACACAGTATTTTCCTTCTTGTACCCGGCTCTGTGTGGACATGTTCAACATTTTCCAGCATCTCTGAAACTGCCACAGCCTTCTTCCTCTCCGGGTTCAGCTTCCAGTACATGAGCAGAGCTGCCTTCCGGACTCCTCGCTCAAAACGTGTCTCTGTGGACAACTTCTTCACTTCTTGAAAGTTCTCCAAAGTGATGCCTGAGGAACAAAAGAAGGCATAAGAATGACAAGTTGACCCTAATTATTTCCAATTTATTTAACAATATTCTAATCCTGATGTAATTTCTAACATCATACAAACACCACTTCACTAGTACGTGTAGACTGAGGGTAGCAGTGGGACATTGTGGATACCTTTTCTGGTGGATAAGCACTGCTGCAGCAGTCTGACTGCATCCTTGCGGCCCTGTTTTGCAGCCTGGATCAGCCAAGTGACCGCTGTGCAGTTGTTCAGTTCCTCATTGCTTTCTTCTGCCAGTGCCAGGAAGTAACGACCCATCTGGACAAACACACACACACGCACGCACAAGTGCACACACTTAGACTTGCAACACAAGCAGTACTGTGACGCAATGACCTGTCCTTCCTCACAGTATGTCACTCTGAGATAACAATTAGCATTATTTGGCTGATCCACCATATGGCCACTAAAGTCAACAGTATTTGCAACATGTTAATTACCACTGACCTTAGTCTGCGCCTTCGCATCACCTGACTTTGCTTTCTCCTCCAAATCCTCCAAACTGACCTCCTCCTCTGGCTCCTCTGAAAAAAAGAAAATAGTTTACAAACACTGTACAGAACTTTTTATGGGACTCTACAACTGAAAGCACATTTTGTTAGTGACACTTTGTTGAAGAGAGTCTCACAAAACCTAAGTGTGCTGTGTTTCTGATGTACTTGTCATCAGATGAGTGAGACATTACAATCTACAGTGACAACAGAGCATTTAATTTAACCTGATTTACAAGGTCTGAAAATGTCGAACAAGCCATTTTCAAATAAAATCAACAGCTAGCCAGACAAATATGATTTGTGCTCATCTGAAGGGAACACTCAAGCTCTGTGTCGACAAAAGCAGCGATTCCAACTATACAATGGATTTCTTCATATTATTCCTTTTAAATCGTGCTTAGTTTTTAAAAATACCCTGCAGACATGGTCCAGAAAAGCAAAAATAGGCATGTAAAAACCAGTTCAGTGTGTCAATCACATGGCACATGAGAGATTCTAGAGCACGAGAATGAGTCAGATCCTTCCAGAAATAGCGTTGGACTTGATAAGAGTCGACCTCTGAACCCTCTTAGTTTCATTATCATCTTCTTTCGACTGATGACTCCCGCTGCTCTAAAATCCCAGATCTCCAGAAGCCTGAAAATGTGTCTACTTCCCATAAAGCAAGGTGTCACATTTCTTGCAATAAATGACAGGAAAAAAACATGGACTTGGCAACAAATGTGGAAACCATTTTCCAAGATTCACGACGCCCACACGCTGTAAGTGTTACTGGCGGTGGTCTGTCGGTGCCTGGCTGTCTTAGGAGGCTAAAGAAAAGGCGAAGGGATCCGATAACTTATATTAGATGCCTGTCAATGCTCCTGGTCCACTGCTCATACTTTAACCATCTGCCAGAGCCCTAAAATAACAGTTTGTTCAGCACAGTCAACAACAGCTGCAAGATTTCCTGATGCAGCACACACACTTAAACAGTGATGCAATCTGTCTCCTATTTTTACTTTCATTAGCTACAATACAAAAATTGATTAGAATATCAATGTCAGACTGCTAGAATTGAAGTATTGTATGTGTTTACTTTTCCAGAGGACCTGTTTAGCTCAAATGGAAAACTGTTGTCCTAGTTTCATGACTGAAGTGTTAGATTTCACACTTTCCAGTGATGCTCCATATTTACACATCTTGGTATCATTGCAAAGGCATTTTAAAAGCTAAAATGTTTTATTCCCACTGCAGCTAAGGTTTCATCTACCATATCAGCTTTACATGCTGGATTTGGTTTGCTAGCCTGTGACAAAATAGGGGTGAGACAGGATTTTCTCCACAGGTCAGCAAAATGGGAGAGGCTGCTTTACATGTTGTGGTAAATGTCCACAGTTGTCATGGAGACACTGCAGTACACACAGTAAACTGGGAGTGTTGGCAGCACTGATTGTTGAAGAAGTGCAAAGCGAAACAGAAGAAGAAAGATTTTCTTCTGCGATTACAAATGCTCAAGGTAAAAAGTCTGAGTTTCATTCTCACCTGGTTCAGGTGTGCGAGGAGGCTGTGGAGCTGTGGCAGCAGCTCCACCAGCTGAGGATCCAGTCAGGGGATTCCCTGTAGACGCTGCGTTCAGCTGAGATCTGCCTACATGAGAAAGGCTCCTAATGGGCTGGCGGACAGGTGAGGCTGTTGGTGTGGATAGCGAGGAAGAGCGGGTCAAAAGACCTGGAGATGTCTGAGGTAAGGCAGTGGAGGGAGAAGATGAGGGTGTGGTTGGAGGTGTCAGCATTGTGAGTTTAGGCTTAGGCCGGTCTGAGGTCGATGTAGTTGCGGCAGCGGATGAGCTGAGGGAGGAAGGACCTGGCCTCAAGGTAGTGGGAGACGAAGGGTTAAGTTTTGGGGTGGATGAGTTTCCGGCAGGTGAAGGCTCCATGGCTGAAATTACATTTTAAAGAAAAAGTCAAATAAGCAAAGGAAAATGATAAGAATCCCACAGATTTTTGAGAGATGAACACAATAATGCTAAATGTTTATGAGTAGCAGAGCACCAATGCATAGTAGGAAGCATTTGTTCAAGGAGAAAAAGCTCGCAAAGAGGAATGTAAGTAGACAACACCTGTTGCAGAGTAACAGGTGGCTTGAAAGAGCACTTTCTCTTTTCATTTGAACACACTTCCAGTCAATCAGCTGTTGCTATCTAACAAAACCGTAGTGCATAATCAGAACAGAAGTCACTGAGTTTACTCAGTAAGCATAGATTGATAGAGCATAATTAAACAGTATAGTATTAGGATACACAGATCAGTGCCACAGGTTTATGTAATTTTATACAAATGCCATGCAGATTGAGGAGCTTCAACTATGTTTCTATCCTGTGCAGCTACCAGCCTCATTCAGTAGAAAGGAGAAAGACGTAGCTGTGAAAAAAAAGGTGAAATCTCCATTACAAATAGTGAAACTAACCACGTGGCAACAGGACCTATGCAGATTTTCATCCTCAACAATTCCAAAACAGCATGGGTGAGTCTATCTTCGACATCTACTGCACAAGAGAGTTCAGTTCCCTGTTATGATTTAGGCTACATATCACTTCATCAGTCCATGTTGTGCTTGCGATTGCATTTGGCTCAGCTTTGTTAAAGCTTTTGTTTTCTGTGACAGAAAACCTGCCGTGTGGTCAACAGTCTATTTTAGTCAAGTAAGCCATGTGCCGCTATATTGAGAAGGTGACATCCATGAATCGCACCGACTGGAAACCAAGTGTCCTGTTGCAATTTAGGGAACCCCCTCTTAGCCCGCAGATGCAACTCCAATGACACCGACTTAACCTGCAGACTGGACTTGTAAATAACCTTCTGCTAATAATAGGCCAGCACCCGAAATAAACCCTTCCCACAACTACATTATTATGTTTTTACGGCGCTGCAATCTTTACGTAGCTGACATTTAGCAGACAGTGACAGTAGGATGTGGCAGGTAGTGTTAGCAACAATAACCGGTGCTTTCGTAGCTAATGCTAACAAGGACTCACTTTAAAAATGTCGCTTCTGTTGTCCGCTCACCTTTTCCCGCAAACACACCAGTTTGTCTGAAATCCTGGTGAAAAGGCTTTTGCGAATATCTCAGGTTCTTCGCTATTCAGTGTGCCAAGTCATTTTTCCCATTGCCTTCTGTTAACTCTGCCTGTCCTCTGTGGTCAAACTCCAAACACACAGCGTACAGGAGAGTTTGTCAGCGGCTCCGCGTCACGTCCACGCCCCTTTCTCAATTCTTCGCATTGTGATTGGACAAGACTGATGACTTCATTTTCCAAGCCGCAAATTGATTGGAAGAAGAGACCGGAAGTTCAAATACTTGCTCTGAGTCAAGAATAATCAACTGTCGATCGAGCTCATGCAGTTGCCGAATTCATGAGCTGGTAAAGTTTCTCTTCATTTAGCTCGTAACCGCCATTTAAATGGACTTAATGCTAAAATACGTTTTTGTGAATTCAATTTTGGTTTGTTTTCATTATTATTATTCGATTTCTTGTTGCTACGTGTAACACCGTAATATTGTTTTGTACCAGGAGATGGCAGTACATAACATGTTGTTTTTGTTGGCAAACGTGGCTTTATTTTTTTTTAGAAAAAATAATGCTACTTATTATTTCCTGTCAATATTTTTTTTGAAATTACATAAAAACTACACTTACATTGTATTTATTTATTTTTTACCGATAGTTAAAAATAAATAAATAAACCTGCTACTCAAATTGCCTTTATTGTCTTGTCCTTTTTTCTTTCCATTTATAATCTATATTTGTGCCGTCCAACCTTTGCTATATCTTACTATTGTTATGAGAAATGTAATAAAAATGGTACAGTATTTTGGTCAATGAGGTTTGAAAGGGAAAAGGCAGCACTATGACATTTTAAGGTCATACTGAGAGTGAGAATATGCAAGAATTACCAGTGAGTGACAAATGTCACTTAAGAATTACAAGTAGTATAAGATGCTTACACCTAAAAACCATGCAATCGGATTTGTTTAAAGCTTCAGCGTTTGTCTAACAACTGCTGTAATCACATGATCCACACTCTACACATTGAGTCAGGAAGAGTTAGAGTTATTTATTATGTAAAACAACAGATGCAAACTGCGATAGCCTCCAGCAAAAGCTATGATTTGAATCTCAAAGTCCAGAAAACATTCAGAAGAGGGTCGCCTACGAAAAAGGAAGGAGTGCAGACAATTAAAGGACTTTAAAGGCAACAGGACTCGAGGGAAACAGTGAGATTAAAGTTCAAGTCTGGGAATGAGAGTAGATACCACACTGTGGGAAAAGAAGGAAATTAGGGCAGTAATTGCTTAACTGCAGCTGCACTGAAGCAGTTATGTAAATGGTTCTCGATTAGTAGATTAACGCAATTCAGTTGAGAGGATAAGCAGGACCCTTATACTGGTTTTGGTCGTTTGCATGCACACTTTCAATCTATATTAGGCAATCTGTCTTTCAATGGGCTTAGACACACATGAACTCACAGATGCATCTCATCTAAATTAGGCAAAGCAGCTGAAGACAGATATTTGTAATAATCAGCTTGTTATGAGTCCAAATCTTTTGATTATGCAAATCTCTTTGTCAGGGCCACACTGTCCCTGCCTGAGACAGTCATAGTCTACACATACAGGTTTTTAGCATGGGGTCATTACTTAAGTAATTGAAAACTGAAACAAGCTGATCTTGTTACTTCAGTCTGCTTGTTTTCCCACTCTGCATCTCCTTCCAGGAAATAATGACTCAAGGCTCAAGTTGTGGAGACTCCCCATCATCTTTCCAATCTGGCAAGCCTTCTCTCGCTGCAGTTATTAGAAACTGCCGCACGACACAACATGGAATTAATATTGTAATTCCAAGATTCTCCCAACCCACTCTTCGTCTCCTCTCTGCGTAGAGGTCACAGGTCCCTGTATATACAGTGCAGGCCTCACCCACGGGTTCCCCCCAGCAATGCCGATGACTCTTGAAGGAAGAAAGACTTGAAGAGGAGGAGAGGAGGTATAGTCAGTAACTATAGCAACCAGTGGAGTTATGCAAAAATGGACACTGACTGCAGTGAAGATGAGTATTACCAACTCAAATGCATCCCAGTAGCCATGCTGACCTTTGAAGTTTCTCTCTGCAAGGGAATGGGCTATAATACTGGATGGACTGCAGCCAGTTGATACTTTAGTCAAATTTCAAGACCTTTGGTGTTTCTTTAATTGCATACTGTGGAATGTCACACCAGCTAGTTTATGTCATGATATTAGTAAAGGAACAGACAACAAGCTTCATATTGAGGACAAACGAGAGTTAGTACATTTTTTGTAAATTTTGTAACTTATAACATAAAGCATTTGCTTTTATATAAATCTGTTGCAGTGATCTGTATATAATTTTGCTTTGAGAATTGATAATGCCCGTTTTAACCATTTACTTATAGGGAAGGTCTTCTAATAAGCCTTTCAGGTTTCCTTTCTCGCTTGCATCTCCTGCTCCTGTTGTTCCTTCTGTTTGCAATTTGCATTTTTTTATTGTGCAAATAAATACAACTTTTACACAAAAGGATTAAAACTCCTCTGTTGCTTGAGATCACTGGAAATTCCTCCACATCTTCTAAATGGGGAAAACACAACTCCTTCCTGAGGGTTCTTTCTCTTCTTCAGCTGCCAGCCCCTCTAACTATTGATCTGCTGCTATTTTGGGGCCTAACTGGAACAGAGGCAGAAAAAAATAATCAAATAAAACAGAGAGAAGGAGAATAATTGTACTGCCAAAGCAACACAATTTTCAGACTGTGCTTATGTTTAGGTTTATTTCATTGTGTTTGTTCTCATTCTGATTTCGAAGCAATAGAAAAGAAATGCTTTTGACTGAAAATGCCACAAAATCACTGTGATTTTAAATGGAATATGAGAGCGCACACACACACACACACACACACACACACACACACACACACACACACACACACACACATATCTATAAAGATTTAGAAGATCAGTTTGAAAACTGAAAATTATGCAATACATTGTTTACATATTAGCCACTGGAACTACAGCAGCAGAACTCTCCTAGTTGACTCATATTCATTCCACTGTGGCAACATAAAAAAACAAAAACAAAACTTGTGTTATGAATCTGGGTGTAGACAGTATAACACTGTATTCAAGTATTTGGGCTGTCTAATGGAACATCTGAATGCATTTAACAGCTGTACTTCCAGTAAACATCTCATAATTTACCCAAATGATCAAAAAATAGAGAAAAATCAGTATTTGTTTGAAAAAGCTTCAAAAAAAAAAAAAAAACCCTTCAAACTCCACTGGAATTATTCATTTATATTATGAATGAAAGTTTTGGAAGTGGACATGGAACATTAGCCTCAGACTTTTTACTGACTAACAGTGGTGACTCATGCCCGGGAAGCCTAATTACCTTCATATGATAGTGTTACGTCACCAAGAGCACTAGAGATGTGGGCTTACATAGTGTAAAATAGGTCAGCTTGGTGGATGGCTGCAGAAACGGACTAAAAGGTGAATATTGTTTGATTTAGTGCCGCTTTGTGTGTATGAGCGCTTCCACTAAATCCTGTATAGGCAGCAGGTTAGCTGGATGTATTCCTCCTCTGATCCTTTGGCCCTCTTTGAATACTGAGGGCCATCACTAAAAGCCATAATAACTTTAATCTGCCCACAGTCATGAATATGTTAAGCTTATTATGGACAGCTCTCATGGATATGGTGAAAACCTAAGATGATTATGCTAAGTTAATAAAAACAGTGACTCCTCACATTACCATGTTCCATGCCCGAACAAAAGAAATGTAAATAGTCTGACTGACTAGATCTGCCATGCCACTGCTAGTAAGACAGTTTAGTTTTTCCTTTTTGAGGAAATCTGCAAAAAAAAGATGCTTTTATAACTTCACCATGAGCTTCCATCGTCTCCTAGAAGCATTACACCAGCTTATTTTGTTTCACTCATATCTGGCAGCACTTTTTTCATCACCAGTATTTTCACCTAAATCCAACAATACCCTAAGTTCTTCTTTTATGAGAAAAACATTTCACAAGGTCTAATCACAAGGTTAGTGTGACGTCAAATGGAAAAGTTTTCTTTATCCTATTTCTGTGAACTGTACTCCTGTTGGTCTTTCAGAGAGGGCATTGTTCAAAAACAGACTGACAAAATACTGTCTAAAAAGTTTTGTTGTTGTTGTTGTTTTTCAAAGAAAAACCAAAAGCAAAATAATTAACACAAAAAAAAATCATTACAGATCTCTGACACACATTTGCTCCATGAGTCAATTCTTCACCAAAACAAAACAGGCCACACATCCCTCCCTCTCCTCATTGCCCTTAACCGCAATGTTTTTTTCACTTTATCGCTCCATCTGTGAGGTGGTTTTCTGGTCTCAGCAGGAGCATGACTGAAGTAAAGCATAGCACTCCGAACTCAACCCCTTTGCTTGTCTGCTTCATCTCACTCAAAGAAGCCCAACAGCTACTTATAAATAGACGAACCTTTAAAAACCTGGAAAATCCACTAATGGAGAAAAGATAATGTACACAATTGAATCTCATCCCGGACCATGTGCATTTCTTCCTCCACCTCCTGTGGCCTGCATTGCCTTGCAGCAATGTGCTGCATATGTTGCAGCCACAGAATACTGGAAGGTTGAGTGTGGTGCTGCTCGTGAATGGCAGACATGCAGGCGCAGTTTGGAGAGGCAGAGACGGGCAGCTGTGCGTAAGTAATGCATCCTCCAGAAACTGGGTCACACTCACACCACTTTCATATTGTCAGATTATTCACCTACTTTTGTGATTTGACGAGTCATATTGTCCTAGATAAAAAAATATACGGAATTTAAAGGCCCAAGTTAGCTGTAACGGAAGTCAGTGCAGATGAAAATGCAGACAAAGGAAAGTCTGGAGGGATACTTTTGAGTTTGTACAATTTAGATGATGGTAGACCTGAATAGCCTTTACATAATAAAGAACTCATTCATTTTACAGTGATGCAGCACAGTGGTTTACATAAAATATATTGGTAATCATCATCATCATCATCAAATATACAAAATATAAATGGTACATTAGGTGCAAAACAAGTACACAGTAGAAGATATAGGACTGCTAATAACGTTTAACATTAAAGGCATTCATAAAATAAATAAATCAAGAAATAAATTGATGAAATGAATTCAGAGACAGAAATGTTTTGGGTCCCCGTTGTCTTCAATCCCTTCCTTTAATGATATAAGCTTACTTCTTAATTATCTTGTTCTAAGAGACAATAAAAAAATATGTCTTTAAAATATTATAGAGATATATTTGGAGAAATAGAAGAGAACAAATGAACTGCCTTCTTATTGTATTGGTTTGTTGGTATGTAAAGTTATTAGGTCAAATTTGCCATTATCATCCCTACTGTGAAACCAAACAAAAGGTCAGAGAGAGAAATCATGACAGATTTTAGATTAACCATAATGACAGCGTAAATTCTCAGTCATCCAGGTCATACTAATCCAAAGAGCTTCAGGAAAGAGCAACTGACTTCTGTTTTAGGTTCAGGAGTTTGTGGAGACTTGTGGAGAACAATTCAAGTGTTTTCTGTAAAGACTAATGAAGCAGTCTTTCACTTATTTCAAAACTATCCTCACAGTAGAAACTTTTAAAAGGATGTATGTGCTTCAGTAAAATCCTAGGGGCTTCAGCAAAAAATAACTTCTGTTTTAGGTTGTTCAACACAAAAGCACATGAATCCTTTCAAAAGAATCTACTGTGAGGACAGTTCCAAAATAAATGAGGACCAGCTTAAACACAGCCTTTACAGAGAACATCTGATGTGTCAATGTTTTTGCTACAAGTTTTGCACGGCAGTGGCTGTGAATCGATTTAAAGAAAACCTCTTTCGCTTTATTACTTGTGTATCTGTGGGGGAAATGTCCAAATAGAAAAACATTAGAAATGAAAGTAGTCCAATAAAAGCATCAAAAGGAACAGTCAGCAAATTGCATTGTTTCAGTCCAACATCCTGAAAAAATCACAGTGCTGGTGCTGAAACCATTTTGATTTTATAGGTGAATCTGGTTTGCAATACACAACAGACATGCTCACACAAAACATTGTATTCCATAAATCTATGTATATGTAATGTATATTTACCTTTATAGCACTGAATCTAATACTAGCACAACCCTATATCTTTGCTGACTCTGTTGACTCATGCTCCTTGTGTTATGATTGTGGGTGTAGACAGTGTAATAGTGCATTTGCTCAGTGTTCAACCACTTGGGAAGTTTAATGGAACATTTGACTGCTTTACCAGCAGTGAACTTGCCGTTTAATGCCTCATAATTTAGCAAAATGGTAAAAAGAAAAAAAAGAAAAAAAACCCAAAACAAAACAAAAAAACAAGACAATCAATATTACTCTGTTTGAAAAAGCTTCATCAAATCTAATAAAATAAGACATTTGGGGCTCCACATGAAACATCAGGCTCAGATTTTTTATTTTTTTTGAAACAGTGCACGAAACACTACTGCTCTATTTGTGGAGCACAGAGAAACATGTCTTCCTATCGGTGTGCAAGCTAGGGAAAGGAGCAAAGGTTGATATTGGAAATATTTTTGAAAAGCGTTATTCTTGTAGTGGGAATAGGATCAGAAATACAGAATATCATTTATGAGTAACAAAGAGGCTCAATTTAATGAGAAATGTGCCATACTTTAACAGTCAATCCATTTTGTTTTCAAACCAGTAGTGGGGAAAAAGGGGATCATTTCTACATACTGCAATTATTTCAACTAATATAACTTGTCCTGGAAGCATATATATATATATATGCCGTTGAGAAGAATTCCTACATCATGATGTTGCCACTACCATGCTACACAATAGGGATGGTGTGTTTGTGACAATACTTGTGTGTTTGGTGTCGACCAAACTTAGCATCTAGTCTAATGGCTGAAAACTTCCATTTTGGTCTCATTGGACCAAAGAACCTTCTCCCAGTGGCTCACTCTTTGACACTCGTCCGTAAAAGGTTTAACTGGTGAAGAAGAGGCAACCGTTGTATGCACAGTCTCTAGCATCTGAGCTGCTGAAGCTTGTGACCTCTCAAACGAGTTGTAGGTGTCTTGGTGACCAACCTCCATAGTCGTTTCTTGCACAGTCACTCAGTTTCTGAGGAGGACGGCCTGCTCTTGGCAGATTTATGAATGTGTTCTGTTCCTTACAATTATTAATGATGGAATTATCTGAAGTACAAAAGATATTCAGTGACTTGGAAATTTTCATGCTTCTATTCCCTGACTAAATTTTTTCTGTAACCTTCTCAGAGAGTTGCTTGGAGTGTTCTTTTGTCTTCATGGTGTAGTTTTAAGTCTGCAAGGTGGCGCAGTGGTTAGCATCGTTGCCTCGAAGCGAGAAGGTCGCCTCACATCCCGGTGAGGACACCAGGATCTTTCTGTGTGGAGTTTGCATGTTCTCTCTGTGCAGTGTGGGTTCTCTCCAGGTTCTCCGGCTTCCTCCCACAAGTCTAAAAACACAATGATTCTAAATTGTCCGTAAGTGTGAATGTGAGTGTGCTTGGTTGCCTGCCCTCTGTGGAGCGCTGTGATACACTGGCGACCTGTCCAGGGCAGTGCATAGATAATGGATGGTGTAGTTACAAGCAGGACTCCTGATTCACCAGCGAGTGAACCTTCCAGATACAGGGTATCTTTATACTACAGTGACTTGAGACACATTCTTTAAACTAAAATGATCTCCATTTCACTAATGGTGTGACTTTCAGCAGCAACTCTGTTTTCACTTTGACATGAATGAATCTTTTTTTTGTAAATTCTTGTCAAAACAGCCAAGGGTTTTGAAAACTTCTTGATGGCAATAAATCTTAGCACAGTCATGGTATTGCCTTCCACTGTTTATATTGCACTGCTTTGGAAGCATTAAAAGACGCTATACTACATTTTCTTGTCTTTGTTGCAGCACTCTGCAATCTAATGCAATCTAATTAAAAAATGTTTAATTGATGTCCGGAATAAAAAGAATTTCTTTGAGAAGTGGATATTGCTTTATTATTTATTTTTATATCGGTAAGTATTGGACTGGTATCAGTCTGTGCCGCCGTTCAGCCTTGATGACGTATGTCTCTACCGCACCGGCTGCGTGTCCACGCATTTACCGCGCGCGGTGTCATTCTTGAACACGCAGTCAGGTGTCGCGCTTCTATCACGCTTACCGGCGACGCCCACCCGGCATTTTTTATTTATTTTTTTGTACTTCCCACGTTAACGTCGACACGGGCACCACAAACCTAAGCGACTTATTTAATTATTTCTCTTCCACTCATGTGGATGAAATGTAGGCTATAGGAGCGGATGACGTAGCGCGTGCACTCGGACGTTTGCGTGTATGTGTGTGTATGTCTGTGTGCGCGCGCGCGTGGAGGGAAATGTCAACGTGCAGCGCGAGAGCAAGAGGAGGAGGCTCGAGCTGCTGGAGGAGACCGTGAAATGAAACGAGCCGCTGCTGCCGGATAATGTGTGTCATATCTGAGGAGTAAAGTTGTACACGGTGGCTGTGTGGTTAGCGGAGCTCTCGGCGTCTGGGAGCTGTCTGAGGTGAGTTAAATCCAGCTGCCCACACCGACGACCAGCCTCCCTTTTCCTGGATGTGAAGCAGCACCAGGCAGCGACGCTTCAACATCAGGCCACTTGTGACCACCGCACCTCCATTTCAGGTAAGTTTGTCCGCTCTGAAACGCTAACACAACTTCTAGTGAACACATTTTTGTAGCCTGACAGGCGGTTAGCTGCCGTGTCACACGCCCGACATCCGTGTTTCGTTAGCTAGCAGTGCGGTAACGGACAGAGAGCCGCCGGCTGGGCTTCATCGTTTCTGGCTGTCGATGTGAGTTTGGGCTGGACATAGTAGCTGCCAAGCCTCTTATGAACCCGCAGAGGGATGTGAATATGGGGTTTTGGCTGAATGCTGGACCCGTGTGACCGTGGCCGACTCTGCCAGCTCGCCAGAGAGGAAGCATGAAGCGTGATGATAACGACACGAATGATTACTAATAAACAGTTTACTGTCCTCCTCCTTATCTTAGCTGTTTAATCTCCTCCTCTTGCACTCATAACGAGGACGGCCCTTGCTGAAATATGGACCGTGTTATAGGCTGCGGTGACACCACCACACCACAGTGGAAATGCTACACGGCAGTGGTTTGCACAGGAACACCCAACACATGAGTCTGTGCAGCCTGGGTGCAAGGACGGCCGTCCTCTGTGGCTGGAGGAGGATGCTGCAGCAGCCCCTCGCATGTCGCCGTGGGGTGTGGTTGGCAAGCCGGACAAACAGGCTGTCAGCAGTGTAAACGCGCTCCTTCCAGCAGCACCCTGCCTTTTAATCTCTCGTTTGACAGCTCATTAGAGGGCTGGCCATATCGCATCAAGCAGCATATTCCTTTAAACCATACCAGCCCTCTGTGCCATGCATGTTGCATGCCTGTCCGCTGTGTTTCACCGGCAGGGACTCCTGTCTGTCTGCTGCTCTTGCAGGCGGCTCTGGAGGCTCGTAAATCTGCCCCAGTGGACAGCCAACATGTGTTGCACATTCACTTCTGTTTGATCAAAAACTATGATGCATGCTGTGGTGCTCATTGTACCTGCTGGCTGTTAATTGTGCCCCAGAAAGTGAGGGCTCTGATTCATGTACTGGGACAAAGCTATAATCATTTCAACATGTAGATAGAGTCGCTGTATATTTATGATTATATCAAATCAAGTTTATTTATATAGGACGTTTTAAGACAACCTGAGTTGACCAAAGTTCTGTACAGACAGGCAACAACAAAAGTAAGTGCAATTGAAGCGAAACAGGATAAAGACATTCTAAGATCAACTTGTAAAACAAAATGAGATTAATATAAAACTGTAAAAATCACAACATAACAGGGTAACAACTTGTAAGATCAGTTACTAATCAGTTACATCTTCAGATTTTCTCTAAAGTGTCAATGAGGAAGGAACATGTGATTGCAAGAGGGAAGCTATTCAAAGGTCTTGGAGCTGCTACTGCAAAGGCACGAGCCTCCGTTGACTTTTAAGTGTTCCATTTAAAAGCAGTTTTTCTGAGGCTCCAAGAGGCCTAGACATAGAGCAGGGCCAGAGAAGTTCTGAAATGTACTAAGGTGCCAACCCATGTATGGCTTTATAAACAATTAAAAGACCATTATCATCAATTTTCAAGTTAATTTTTTTTTTCAAACTAACCTCAACCTGTCCCATTCTTTTGTCTTATGTATAACATTGAGACTCCAATGTATGTCACACTACCCCCCTCTTTTTCCCTCACCCCAGCCTTTCTCCACTCTCCTCTTCCTAACTTAATTTGCACGGCTTATTCTTCATTCATAATCCTATCTCTCCCTCCTTACCCATGGCTTCCTCAGCGTAATGCGCTGAGTGACAGGCTGCTGCCAGAATAATCCCAGTGGACTTTTACCCTCATGTGTATGACTCTCACTTTGCTCCACTACTGTACTTCTCTTGTAACCCTTACATTAATATATACAAGTTTATCCTGACTGCACTACCATGTCTGTCTGAGGGGGATGAGGCTATCACTGCTAACACAAGCACAGATGCACCCATGCATGCAAAAGCACACACACACACACAGATGCACATGCTGAAAACACACAATGCCTACAGCAATGAATGACTGGAATGACCATATCGAAACATTAATGGGTATCATAGATTAGAGGCTGAGCAAAAAAAAATCTAGCGATACCATGCATGTGTAACAGAGACACAGAGGGAGACGTTTTGTTTATCTGTTTGGGTTGACTAGTCATTGGGGTCAGTAACTTGTAGTCACTCTGCGGGCATAGTAGTTTTTAGGTCATATGCTCCCCTAGTGTTGCTCTCGCCTGGTATTACTCGGCCTCTCAATGGGATCCTCACAGTGTCTTAAGTGAACCTCTAGACTGCTGACTATGTGTGTGTTGGCTGTAGAGAGATGTCTGGAGTGTGGCCAGACCACTTCTGACAGTCTACACTGCTGATGCTGATATGACTGCAACAGGAAGGTGTGTTTGTGTGTGACTGTGTGTTACAAATGTGCAATGTAAACAAAAGTATATAAATCAGCCAATCGACACTCTCGCTGTTGATTTTTAACCAAGCCAGAGAAGTAAGAAGTCTTTGTTTGAGCTCCCAATTGCCCGTGTTTTTATTGGGCCTTTATGTCACTCTGAAGTCTAGTTAATATTTGACACTCTGTGATTGTGTGTGGTCTGTCTGCCTGTCTGGCTTTGAGGAGATCCATCTGTCAGTGTGAAATAAGCTCATGACCATTGCAAAGACATCTGCCAACCTTACATGTCTGCTAAAGTTAGTTGTTAAAGTACTTTATCATATATTTTTATATCCTACCTGTGTTTAGGAAAAGCTATAAAAAATAACTGAAGAAACTGTTCTGTTAAATGACTTTATAAACATTTGCAGTATTTATTGATTTGTTTGTTGTATCCAGTTAGTGAAAATTGAACTGTATATCATGGTTTGTTGTGAAGCCTGATTCCTCATCAGCAGTAGGTTAAAACCAACAAATTTATTGCATTAATGCCAGTACTTATTTCAAACCATGTGATTTTGTTTCAATAGACATTTGTATTTAAATACACCTAAGAGAAATAGTGAGGGATTAGTCACGCTGCACAGAAGCAGACAATGAGTAGCTTTTCTTACGAAGACACAATTAAAACACAATAATGCAATTAGGCGATTAAACAAGACCTGACATTAATAATTAAATAATAACAGAACTGAAATGCCTAACTATGGATGGTTAACAGTTTCTTTATTTGAAGAATTAATGCTTTCCCTTGCCCTAATATGCAGATTATATTTAAGTTTCGAACTGTTGGTTAAACAACAACAACAACAAAACATGTTTTTGACACATTATCATGAGAATTTCTTAATATTTTGTGATTTATAGAACAAACCATAAATTGTTTGAGAAAATGAGCGTGGGATTGGACTTAACCAAACTGGATGAGGTAAAGTGAAAAAAATGTACAGATTGTATTGTCTGTGCTGCCTAAGTGTGCAGCTCACCTCAAACTCAAACTCACAGAAAGACAATGATGGAAAATTTTATTTCCAACTAGTAGGTGGACTGTCTTTACAAGGTTTCTTGTTTCAAATGATCAAAACAGTTTCCAGCTGTTAAAGTAGTTTACTTTAAGCACCTGTTTAAGGAAAGTTGGACCGCTGTCGACTATGCTGTAGACGTCACTACTAACGTTTAATACAATAAATGTTTGCACAAAGAAATAAACATTTTCACATCCTACATTTACAGTGAATTCAAACTGAATTGTAAAACCCAGGAAAACACAAGCACAATGCACTGCTGCAACACAGAGTAAAGAGGGATTTCCTCAGGCAGTTATGAAACTACCTATATGTTCGTCATACTGTATTCAGCCTGGTTTGAAAGGATCAAGGTTACAACATAAAGTTATGTCAGGCAGGTAGTCGCTTGAGTACGCAATGAATCAGTTTATGTTCTTATGCTGTGTTGATGCTGATGGATACGTTTTGTTCTTGGCTTTTTTTCTCAAGTCTGTTTGTCATGCAGTAGTTATCTTAATTGTGAAATTGAGCTGCAGAATTTCATCATTACTTCTTTCTTGCAGTAACAATCAAGTGAAATAAGTGCCACTGTTTAAGCTGATCCTCTCAGTGCTACATTCACTGCATTAAAATAGGCCTTGAAGGTGCATTTTGGTGGTGTATTATTCAATTTATATAACTTGCAAAACATGACTTGTGATTGATTTAATGAGTCATACTGATTTTTTTCTTTTCTTTTAGTTTTGAACGTGGGATTATACCAGCTATATATAGGCTATGTTAAAGACTAGGCTGTCAGTTTTGTCTGTTGAAAGGTTTTTGCTTCCACTTCGAGGCTTTGCAAGCAGAATATAAGCTTGGCTGACTTTACTTTGAGTGGATGAGGTAATTTAAGGTCTATGACCTACGCTGGCTTTTGTTTGCTTCTGTGAACATTAAAGGTGCTTGTTAGCTTCTTGGTGCCCCTATAAAATGTTCCAGTTTCCCATATAACATTCCTGGTTTTCAATGAACTGCAACCTTTGAGATTTAGTGTCTGGCTACCAGCTTGGGAGCATGTGGCTTCAGAAAGGGGACTGTGGGTGGTTGATGTCTTTGTGCCTGTGCACACATGTTGATTTCATGTGAAATCTAGATGTCTTTTATATACCATTTATATCATTGTGTGTTAAATAGAAATAACACCTCACTGTATAACAGCACCACAAAGTTCATCCTTGTCAATGATCATAAGTTGAACATCACAACTTTTTTATTTCACTAACGCCATAAAAATAGTTTTGCTAGTGGTACTAAGACAGATAAGAATGAAATAAAAAAAAAAGAAGGGATTCGCATTCATCAGACTGTTGAGGGAGAGTGTTGCATCCAGATGTTGTAGGATAAGCATCCACGCCTCCTTACCCTAGGAAGAAAAAAACGAAACCATCCGTCATGCCTTTCAGCCATTTCAGCTTGGGTACACCTGGTCTCCCCTAATGGCACAGACGTGCATAAACCTGCTAAAAACAGTGGCAGGGTGGAAAACATTTTTTGTTCTTGTAAATTGTATGAGCAAATTCCACAACACAGTGTGCGAGTCTGTTGGCCTACTGTAAACAAATACGTGTTTGTTCCCAGTGTGAATAAGTGTAGAGATGTTTTGGTGCCTATGTGAATATGTGTCAGCTGTAGCTGTCCCTAGTTGTTCAGTTGAAGCCTCAGAGAATGTGTCCCTGTGTCAGTGCTCTGTGTGTGAATGATCTCCCTCTCTCTTTCTGTCTCTGTGAATGAGAGTGAGATCAGTAACATCCCCATGCCAGCAAGTGGGAGTGGAGAGATGGAGGTTAGGGAATGTAAGAGGAGAGGTTGGTTTCTCTGGTAGAGGTCTGTGTTTTCCTCTTGTCTGCCGCTCTCTCTTTTAGGCTTAATCATCCTCCATCTTCCTTTCATTCTTGTCGCCTCCCATCCCCATTGGTTGTCACCATTTGTCTGTGTGCTGTATAAAAATTAATGTGGAAGAAAGCCTCCTTGCCCTCCAGTATCAAAGCATCTCTTTCTCTCTGTCAACCTTGACTCAAAGATAGGACCAGATAACAAAGTCATGTATGCGTGTTTTTCAAATGCACAGCCTTTATACAATGCAACTGTGTGTGTGTGTGTACTGTCTCAGTGTGTGACTCCTCCTTTCCATCATCCTTTGCTATGAGAGGAATAGAGTTTTTGAGAGCAAGTGTTGCCTTGGTAACTATTTCTGCCATCTGTGTATGTTGTATGACTGTTTGGCAATGTGTGTGTGGTAGGAAGAGACGGAGGTGCCTGCGATTTTAATGCTTCAGCTCCCTCATCGTTGCATTATTTATTTAATAGTCAGCAGAAAGACTGTAGGGTTACTGGGTTACAAATCACTCCAAGAAGAGATTAGAGGAGTCCATTTTCAGCTCAGTGAATATGTGTCATTGGAACGTGTCTACAACAAAATGTGCAAATAAATAGCTGCAAACATAACCAACGCCTGTTCTCAGCTGGTAAAAAAAAGGAGTAGAGAAGATAACTCATCATTCATTTAAATCCTTTTATATTTGTCTTTAACAGTTTTACCCGAGGCAGTAAATGCCAACAATTTTTGTTTAGTGAATCATTGATTTTTCAAGCTAAACATTTCCCCTTCAGCTTGGATTGGCAGCTTTTCTCTGTTTTTTATTGTGGCTCACATAAACAGAGAAATAATGTCAGTGACTGTACTCCACATACTGATATGCCCAATGTGTAGAGGTGAAGATAAATCGTACAATTGGATTGCACTGATATGGATGTACTGGAAAGATTGAATTGCAGTAATGCAGACAGCTGCTGTCCACGTTCAGCAGGTCTAGAGAGTCAAGACAAAATCAATTAAATGTCTATTTGAAAATGTAATTGGTTTCATGATGAGAAGGTGCAACAACAAAAAAAAAGCAACTGGAAAGCCAGACATGAACAAAGAGGAAATAATAAAGTGAAGATTTCTAAGTCAAATTAGGGATATTTCTGTGGGACTCCCAAGTACGTCTGACATGTCATTAGTTTACTCTAGTTAAGAGAAGATGATGAAATCTTTGGACAGTGGAATGTTGAGAGTCATCAAACTAAAGGTAGGATTTATTAGTCTGCACAGTGAGAGAAGGGTCCAGTGCGATGCTAGAGGCTAGGAATCGTAACGATGGTGGCCAGACACATTTTCATGCACTATGGAGCCTCTAAGTACAGCTCAGGGACTGGAATTGGATGATGATAAATGGCCAACGTGTAAGTTAGACAGAAAAGGCTGACGGAGGAGAGGGTAAATGTTGGTCCCTAGAATAGTCTGTTTTCCCCTGGCTATAGTGCGTCATGTGCCTTGTGCCCAGAGTATTGTACAGAGTAGTTTTGTCTAACCTAGTTTTTAACACTGACTCACCCTTTTTCCATCTTTTCTTTTTCTTTCTGCTTGTCTTGCTATCTCTCTCAAATAGAAACTCTCAGCAGCCTCTAGCAACGATGTAGACTTCTCAACGACTTGATGATGATGATGCAGGGCCGTGCAGGGAGGAGGAGCATTGACTGACTCTCTCCTCCGTTACGCCACACCTTGCACTCTATGTCCGTCCTGATTGGGCGGCTGGAGTGCTATGTCATCAACCGCACACCCGTCGGCCCAACCCACTAAGAAGGGGAGGAAGCCGGAGAAATCGGAGGTGATGGCTGATTCGGTGCAGGTCACCAATGAGGAACTGAGGAGCAAACTCGTGGACATTCAGTTTGAGCTCCAGCAGGAGCGTGGCAAGGTGAGAGGGAAGAGGAAGAAATGGAGGGCTTTTGTACAAAACTGATAACCAGGATGGTGTCGAGATAGTGCCCTCTGTGTGGTCACGTCAGAAGGAGAGGGTGGCCCATTTAAAAAAATGTTTGGAAATTATTTACATATTTATGTAGATTCATTGACACAAACTTAGAACTAATGTTTAACACAAGCACTCTTTTAAAAAGCAATATCTATAAAAGGAGCTGTAATAATAGTGTTTGTGCACAGTATTATCTTTTACCTATGTAAACACAATGATATGCCAGTTCCTCTAGTTGGATTTTCACTAAGTTATGTTAGCTCTTTTCCAGTTTCTCATTATCAAGGTTTTAAAGACTTGGCGTTGCATGCATTTTCATTAGTGTACGCCACATAGCCAGTCAGCATTTTCTTTATTCAGTGGCTGCTAGGCCTTTCATTCTCATACTGTAGATAGTTTGAAAAAGTGTTCAGAACAGTTTCCCTCTACATGTATCTTCTGATCAAAACACAAGCTACCTCTCTGTGCTCGTATCTGCACTGTTTATGGTTACATTTAGAGAATGGCTGTAACAATACTGGCGTTCAAGCCACACTCACAACATCTACACTTTGCAGATGCATTGATCACGTTTGAATGCATCAAATTAAATTCACTTTTCTTGCTGCTTGAAAACACAGCTGAGCGTTGTTTACTGCGCATCTGCTGCTCCTAGTTGGGGAATATATCACAACTTGATAGCTGTTCATCCATTTTGTTTTAGACTGCCTGGAAAGCAACTTGCAAATTAAGTCGTCACTGTACAGCTCACAGTCTGAACAAATTACTGGACACTGTAAAGTGCTGATGCTGATATAAGGATGCCACCTTGACAACAACATTATCCTCTGTTGTGTTCTTTTCTCAGGTATGTAAGCTCCGTGAGCGGCTCCAGGAGCAGCGGCAGGCTCGGGAGCTCGAGCAACACAAACATGCCGTAGCACTCACAGACCTGCGTGCCAAACTCCATGAAGAAAAACTACGTGAGATCGCGGCTGCCCGTGAGACCCTGGCACGGCAGCATGAGGCCGAGCTTGCCCGGGCCATCAAGATCCGGGATACTGAGGTGCAGAGGCTCCAGGGGCTTGTAAATGCACTGAGAGATGGAGCAGCTGACAAACTCAAAAATGCTCTTTTGGGAGAGGCTCGGGAGGAGGCCAGGAGAGCGTTTGATGGGGAGAGACTAAAGCTACAGCAGGAAGTAGGTTTTAGCATGTATATGGATGACAACCATTATGTTTTCATGTTTGGCATTGTGGAAAAATTTACAAGTTCTCTAGTAACTACATACATTGTCAATTGTAATGGGCATCCTGTAACCTCACAAAATTGTAGAAAGAATCTGGAGGCACTTTGTGTTTTTAAGATCAAGGCACTTTTTCAGGGAAAGCTGACATTCTAAAACCATTATGTGTGTGCATGTGTGTGTCTGTTCATGTGTGACTGTGTATACCTTTGTCAATTTGCTGTTGAAAAACAGGAAACAGGGTGGAAAAGCCTGCTGCCAAGCTATTGTTTCACTGTAGCCTTCCCAGACAAACAGGGCATCTATCATTACTGCAGTTTAATGGGATAAGACAAATGTTTATAAATGCACGAGTATCTGTGTCTTCGTTGTTTTTGTTTTTCAGCGAATAATACGGTCATGTGTGGGGGTGTTTTTTTTTTTTTTAGATTCAGGAGCAGAAAATGGCTAGGAAGCAGGCTGAGGAGGCACTGGGAAATGCTCTCCAAGCTGATAAAGCCAAAGCAGCTGATCTCCGCACAGCCTACCAACAGCACCAGGATGAGGTGCATCGCATTAAACGGGACTGTGAGAAAGACATCCGCCGGCTGGTGAGAGCACATAAAGTTGGGAAGACATACAACACATACATGACACATGACTTATCTGTCTTTAGATGAAGGGTAACAAATGGAAATAGTCAAATGCAAATAAATGGAGGAAAACTGTTGCAGCAATATTTGCTGGTGAATGTATAATATTTCCTAGAAGTTGCACAACAGAATCCTATTAACTCTATTTACCTTGGCACACCAGTTAACACATTTGTATTTGCAGTATTAACATTCCCGACTGTCTGATATTCAGTAATAATTTGAACCATTCTTGACTAAATAAGAAACAATCACACCGTGTGCTTTTACTTTACAAGTGTTTAACACTGAAAAACTGAGCTAATCAGCCTCATGAGGAACACGTGGATGTGATTTGTTGAGAAAAACCTGGCAGGATGAGCAAACTATCTAACAGCTGTCATCACATTTAAATTAAAATCTATTTAAAGACCTGATTCGTGTCAACACACACTGACACTTGGCTAGAAAAGGTTTAGTTTATGTAAGATTCTATTGCCAAGAAGTTGATTAAGAAAATAGATTTTTTGCAGCCTTAAAAATTAATACCATGCTGAGCACTTCGCTTGTAGACCCCTGTTGGAGAGTAAAAAATGTCCTGTTGTGAAAATATCAATGAGCCAACCGTAGTGAAAAGACAGACCTGTCCGATGAACCAGACCCGGCAGCTGTTATTTTTATAGTCCATATCTGTTCTGACCACATTTGAATATCATAAAGAGTTCTCATCCACTGACATCTGTTTTCCTGCTGCTGAAGTTCAACTCCAGCTCAGGGCTTATCTCACTGATGTTGTATGAGGGTTAGAAGCTAATTGCTCCAGTGTCTGTCTTGGCTTTATCTTCAGTGTGTGGTGCTTATCTGCAAAAATAAAAGTCTGTATACCGGGTGCAGTTACTCATTAACCCCATTACATGCAGTGCAGCTACAATAACTTCCTGTAAAGGAATGTTTGAGCAAAGAAGCTAAAAGAGAAAAGCCTAGCTGATTGATGGGAGAGCAGGCAGTGCAGGAAATACTGGTATTAAAGAACAAAATACGGATGGAAGTAGAAGTGGTAACAATTGTCTGAGGTAGTTGTGTGAATGCAGAGCAACAACAAAGCTACATCAATTCATCAGCACAACATTTGAGGCACTGTTCTTATTCTACTCTTGGCCATTAGCGCATACAGCTTGTTAGAGTGAAGGTGTAGACAATGTGGGAAATGAAGTCGAAAGCTGTTGCAGAATTTCTGTGCATAAAATACACAGAATTACATTGTACTTCATATAAATTGGATCCTTGCATGCTAGTTGTAAAATCAGTAAAATAATAATTGAATTACATCTTTGCTCAATATCAAAAATGTTTTTAATGTTTTCTGCAATATGATCCTAGAGATGTCTTTCTGTATGATGTCTCTTTCTATCATCCATAACCCTGGTTTTATCCACTCCTCTTGTAGATGGATGAGTTGAAGGCAAAGGACCGGGTGGTGTGTGCTCTGGAAAGGGAGCTGGGGGTGCAGGCTGGCTATGCCCAGAAGCTGCAGCTACAAAAGGAAGCCCTGGATGAGCAGCTGGGTCAGGTACGAGAGGCTGAGAGACACAACCATGGCAGCCCCAAGAGAGAAGTGGTGCCTGGGCTGGGGGAAAACTCAGACCTGCTCAACAACCAGGTACACACAGACACAGACACACACAGACACACACAGTGCAGATGCATACACATCTATACTCGTGCATGAATGCATTCATACACTTGGAAGAACACAAGAGCTGAAATGCACACACTATGTGCATAAAGACATGAAAACTGTATTGTTTACCTTGCATTTTTTGAAAGCTGATTTTTTTTTGTCACTGATAATTTAAGAGGCAAGTTTATTTTCTCTGATATTTTCTGATATTATCTGTATTTTATATGTATTTCATACCGAGATTGCAAAATGTCAGCCATTTTCAGCAATGATTTTTGAATGACGGCGAAGCCTATAAAATCGAAATGAAACAAAAAAAGACTGCCATTGAGTGTCATACAGAAAAAATGCCGTTTGTCCATCTTTAACTTTTTTTCAATCACTGATTAGTTATTACATATCTTAAAGGGATACCATAAATCATGAGGTGCAGTTTCTTTACCTAATGACAAAGACCCATCATGTTTAAACATGTGCGTAGTGAACTTGCACATTTACTCACCAACTCATCCTTCATCTCATGACCTCCTCTTTCCAATCCATCTTCATGACCTGCCTGCCTGCATGTTCACCCTTTTTCAGTTTTTGTCTGCCTCCTCCTCCCCTCTCCCCCCTGCTCAACAGGAGGTGGAGGAGCGTGACATGAGGAGGTTCCAGCTGAAGATTGCGGAGCTCCACTCAGTCATCAGGAAACTGGAGGACAGAAATGCATTGCTGGCCGATGAGAGGAATGAACTAGTGAGAAACACACATGCAGAATTACATATGTGCAGTGACTGTAGGCATGCAAATGCATGTATACACATTGCATAGTACACACATGTACACAGACAATGTGCATTAAGACAAATCCTCCAGCCTTGATCTTACTTATCTTGGACGTGTAAAATAAAAGTTGTATAAAGGTATAAGATGTCTGCCGTTCCCCACACCTAACTAACCAATTCTCATCCAGGTCATACTGTGATTGACAGGTTGCAGGAACAGCAGCAGCTCATTGGTATTCAGAAAAAAATAGCCTGTTTAGAAAACTCCTAAAACCAGGGTTTATGCAGTTACGGTGAATTAAACCCTCTTTGCAGTATTTTAATCTGAAAAACTGAAAGACACACCATGGAGGCATGTCAAACATCGATCTATTTGCTGAAAAATAGCAAAATATGGGACCCTTATGATTACATGTTTCCCCTCCCTGTTTCCTTCCTTTGTTCAGTTGAAGCGGGTGCGAGAGGCAGAGAGCCAGATGAAGCCCATGTTTGAGAAGAACAAGCGGCTGTCCAAGAAAAATGATGACCTCCTGCAAACGCTGCAGCGCATGGAGGAGAAACTCAAGAACCTGAGCCGTGAGAATGCTGAAATGGTGAGATGCACACAGAAGTCTCTCACAATGTCTCTGAAGACAAAATCAAAAATCAAATACTAGTAGGACAAAGTAAATATTTTAGTTCAGCAATGGAAGAGGGATTTCTTCCCTGAGGCTTTCATCAGAAAGGAAACATGACCTCTGCTGGCTGTTTGAGGAAGAGCGTGACACATAATTTGGCCTCTGTCTCTCTTCATTTACCTCCTTCAGAAGGAAAAAGCTTCCTCCTCTCGGCCGCCGTCACAGCAGCAATCCCTTCAGCCCCAGTTGAAGCGACCGAGCTCCCTGAGCGACCTGAGCCACGCCCATGAGGAACAGGAAGTGGAGTTCCTCAAGCTGCAGGTCGCTGAGCAACGTGGAATAATTGATGAGCTCATGCAGGTCAGGATTTCAATCAAATCACAAGGCTGACATACCTGTTTTATTTTGTGATAGAAGTTACTCCTGTTTGATTTAAAGACATAATGTAACGAAATGATATATAGTCTCTGACAATATAAATTTGTCAAACTGTGATAACATTGTTTTCTTAATATAAGTTACAGGATTTTCTATCAATATGATGACATGCTTTGATTTTTCAAGGATAAGTACAGATATTCTAGTCCATTATATTTTCCTTTGACATATTCTCAGTGGATTTTTTTTTAGAAGATTTATCATAGAATTATTTACATCAATATTACATGCACTGATTTTATCCATGTTGCTCCTCTCTTCCTTTATCCCACTGTTTCAGGGGAATGAGCTGTAAACTTTCAGAAGGGTCAGTGCGTCTGTATGGGGAACAGTCTGACTCATCAGAAGCTGCTAATTCCAATTATTTAGAGCTTTATTCCTATGGTTGCATTGTTTGCTGCCCATCACCACCTTATTTCAAATGTCAGCACACTTTGGCTTTTATTTGACCTTAAATTTTGTAGAAATGAGATAAGTTGGCACTGCTGAATTCACAGTATATTTAGATGGCAGCTCACATCATGACTGATCTGTGTGGATTGTGTGCCCATAGAGACCTGTCAAAATCCCAGGTGTGAGACTGGTCTTGCTTGGGAACACTTTAAGATGTTCGTCTGCTGTGTGTTTGTCTTCAGGAACGTGACCGATTGGTGATGAGCAAGAAGAACAGGAGGAAACCTCTCAAGTTGTCAAAAGTAAGGGTCCACAAGTGTTTTATAACAGCTGTTAATCCAGTGGTGTGTAACTAAGCAACTACCCTGTCTCTGGTTGACTGATTCTTGAGTACTCTTTTCAGTGGTGTGTGTGTTTCTGTTTAATTGGGCTCAGGGGACAGTAATGACAGCTGGGAGCATCAAGCTGAGCACACATGCAACTTCTGCATTCACCATTCCCACAGCTAGTTGAAAATTATTTGTTTTCTTTGTTGTTTATTTATGTGCTGTGTGTGTTTAGTGTTACTGCAGAACAGTTAATACACATGTGACAAATATTACAAGCTGTGTGCAGCAGCATGTCCTTGTTTATCTCTGCTTCCTTGTGTGTGAAAAAAAGAAGGCAAATTGGGTGAGTGCAGCAGTGCTAGAAAAAAATGATGGCTGCGATGCGTGTGTGTTAGTTTGACTGTGCATGTTTGAGATAATACATCAGGGACATATTAGAGTCTGTGATGTTGCTAGGAGGAGGAGTTTGTAGATGCATGACATATATTTTCTCCTGCCTCTCCTGCTGGAACCACTTTGTTAGTTTGGCAAGTTCAGTACAGGGTTGGGCACAGCTGCTTGGCTTTTGGACTTGCACCTGGAAATTTGCCTCTCTTTTTAGGAATTTAAAGCAGAAGCAGAGCTGGGCGACAAAACCCAGAAGCTGGCCCTAATGTTTTTTTTCGTAGGAGTTTCATTGTAACCACAAGTTTTATTGTCTGCTTTTCTATTTTGTGTGGGAGTGCGAAAGAAAGCAACTGGGCTTTTTGGACATTACTGAAGGCCTGTAGTGCTTTGCGCAGATTGGCTGGTGTAGTCTCAGATACGATAGACGGATACTAAGGAGATTCTTTATACTTTAGTGTTTGTGTATCTGGTCTAGTAGCAGCATGACGGAGTATATCCTCCTTATTCTCTATTTCTCATCCTTCATTTGTTTGTGTGCTCTAGTGTGCCTTTATTTCTCTGGTTGCCAGGAGATGACTTATAAACATGATGGTAAGGGCTCTGTGGGGACCGGAAAAGTTAACGGCAAAAAGGAAGTAAACAAACATGCAGCATCTTGATCCACTTTGCAGGTTTTGACAAATTGGTGAAGATATTACTGTAGCCAGATGTGCTGCATTAGGTGGAATTATATTAGGTTTTAGTTTCCTAATTTGAAAACAGGTGTGATGTGATTTTAGACAAGTGTTAGTGTTTTTTCCATCTGACTTTTTACAGAATTGGCAACAGCATTCATTTTTCAATGTAAAGGTTTGATTTAACACGTGGCCCATCTATCTCTCTTCTACTCCTCTCTGCAGAGGCATGTTGTGGAGACATATTTTGGATTTGATGAGGAGTCGATAGACTCTGAGACCTCCTCTCTGACCTCCTATAACACTGACCTCACTGACCGGACGCCTGCCACTCCAGAGGAGGATTTGGAAGAGGTAGGAAAATCCTTTGTCTACACTGAAAGAAATATTTTAAGCTTTAATATTTATAGTTATAAAAGCTGAGTGATGTGATGAATAAATGTTGAGATAACTGATAGAAAAGTAACAAGATAGATAGTTAAAAGTAACTTACAACTTAAGAGATGGGATAATGAATAAGCTGGGAGAAGGTTTCTGTTTTAGTTTGACCTTGTCCCTCTTTGATGCCACAGAGTGTTTCCCGTGAGGAGTCAGAGCTTCGTTTTCGTCAGCTCACCAGAGAGTACCAGGCTCTTCAGCGGGCCTACGCCCTCTTGCAAGAACAGACCGGGGGCTCACTAGATGCTGAGAGAGAGGCCAGGGTTTGTATCTGCCTCGTTGCCTTAAAAACACTGCTTACTTTGACATAAGGATTAAATATAAATTTCAAGTTAAGAAGATCTAGCTTTATTATTAACGACCGTAATGGCTGGTTTTCCTTCCCACAGACACGTGAGCAGCTACAAGTGGAACTCAACAGCTGCCAGGCCAAGATTGTTGATCTGGAGAAGGCCCTGGCCGAGAGGGGGCAGGTAATAAAGACGAGGGATGGGGACAGGAGCTCACTGGTTCTGCTCTCTCTGGCCCTTCTGCATGTCTGTTTGGCTGCTCTGCTCCTGGGCTGGCGCTATGCTGACCAGGTCTGCCGCAGAATCCTGTAACGTCACTTCCTGCATGTGTGGTGTCACAGATCTGTGCCTGCATGCTCTGCTTCATCCTTTGTCCTTACTGTTGTTGTTGGTGTTTCTTATTGGGTCTTTCTGTGCTACTGACCACAGAGGGAAAGCTTGAACACCTGACTCCTGTCAGCCATGATTAATACACAAGATTAATATACAAGATTTATATGTAGAAGTATCTGAATATCTTTCTAAATATAAAAATACACAATTTAGATAAATTTTTTTCTTGCTTATTTAACATGTCCAAAAGTAATCCTTAAACATTTCAGCCTGAGAACTAAACCCAATCTGGGCACATTGTCTAAACTAAGTAATGTAAAACACATTCAACATCCTAATTTGTACCTTTACTGAATATCACTGGGAACACTGAAAATATAATGCTTGCTTCATATCACTACTCCTAGTATAATTTATTGTGAAGTATTTCTTTGTGTTACTGCATGTTGCCTGTTCCACCTCTGTTATTCTGATTTGCTGCTCTGCTGTTTGTCACCTCAGATTGCCTTCTATTCCTCCTGTTGCTGTGAACTCTTGTTGACTGTGAATGCAAGTCTTCTGCATCTGTTATCTCAGGAGTTGGCTTCATTTCTCTGGATCAATAAACTTGTGCTATTGCCACTACATTCCTGTCTTTTTGTGTCTGTGTTACATTTGCATGTGTCATTTGGAATTGAAGGAGATAGTCACTGAGCAGTAGTTTTTGGGTTGTCTGGTTGTGTTGCTGACAGCGTTGTTTATTACACCCTGTCATTGGGGATCTTTTCTTTCCTCTCCTGTTCCTTGCTGTGTCATTTCTTGCTGATGTTGTCTTTGGTTGTTATGACAGGATTCAAAATGGGTGGAGGAGAAGCAGTACTTGCTCAGGACCAACCAGGAACTACACGAGAAGGTAGATTAGATTAGCCTACACTCATATACATCACTATCTAGTATCCATGTTTGATTTCAGAGCTAGTTGCAATTCAGTACCTAGGTTTCTGTAACAATACTGAAACTATACTTAAATTCCTCACTGGCAGAAATGTCAACCAGGTTTTCTCAAAATCCCTCTTTACTTGAACAAAAAAAATTTTGTATAAACATAGGCAGCCACATTACTTGCCGAAATAAAACTGTGACTAAAATTGAAAAAAATATATGTAAATTAGCAACAGTCGGAGTATAAATGTTTAATGCCCACTTGAGGTGCAGTTCCATACTCTGTGCTATGATTTTTTATTTATTTTTTTGTCCTGTTACAAAAACGATTTTAAAGTTTAGCAATTAGCCCTAAACTCAAAGTCAACCTCAATCTGAGCTGTTGGTAAATAAAAACAGGGACTATTTAGTTCTTCTCTTGAAAACTTAAATTATCTGATTATACTTGCTTTCTAAGTTTAAAAACCAAAAATAATAGATAGCTCTTGGATATCAGCTGTTCTCAGTATTTACTTGTGGAACTCTGCAATCATAATACAATTTAACTTGTGTAACCAAGATGTGTTTGTGTCTGCAGATGTGTGCGTTGCAGCAGACGGAGTCGCGGCTGCAGGCTGAGGTTCAGGATGCTCGGGACCAGAATGAGCTGCTGGAATTCAGGGTGCTGGAACTGGAAGTAAGAGACTGTACCACCATCAAACTGTCGCCAGGAAGCGACAACAACAGCCTCAGCTCCAGACGCAAGACCTACATACAGTGACTCACCAGACAGACATACATACCCTTATTCCCACTTATTAGTTCTTCACTGTATGCATCTGTGTTTCCTTGTTTTGCATGGCAGCTGTGTGCATACCCCTTCACTGAACTGGAATATTTTTTTTAATGAATGAATGTTGTTGTTAAAATAAATTTCATTTTTACTTGAATAAAAATATATTTAAGTTCACGATCCATTTCCATCTTTGTTCATATTGTGTCTCATTTTTGCATGCATGTCCTACTTCTTGTTTATATTTTGTAAAAGGTAGACGTTAATGGAAAATTGAAGACAGCATTTAGGTATTCTATTGGAATTGGTAAATTAATTTTATTTTGAATATTTAGGTTAATAATATACATGCCATATGTATTGGAATATGGAAAATGTAAAGATATTTGCCAGTAATAATGATATTAGCATCACCAGTCATTCATATCATTCAACTCTCCATCTGTTTATGTTGTAGTTCTGTCTTTATGAAGGCAAAATGATGGATTACATCCTTAGTTTTGACTTTTAGCATGTGTCCCTGGTGGTTTGTTTTGTTTGTCCCTTTTAAATCTATGGGTTTTCACCTCCCTCATTTTAGCAGATCCTGACAATGTTTTCAGTGTCATGTAAGTAAATCACTCCTTCACTCCCACTTCATTTTGCCAGTCATTAAATTCATTCATATTTTTCCTTTCACGTCCCACCACCATGAATGTAGTAATCAATTGTTGTATTACTGTCGGACTGACAAAAATGTTGTTACCTTGGCTCAAGACACGATGTGTGTATGGACATTAACATGATGTGTACTCCTGTAGGAAAGGGAGCGCAGATCTCCTGCCCTCAATCTCCACATGTCTGCCTTTCCTGAGAACAGTAGCAGCGCCCTGCAGATCTACTGCCACCAGGAGGGAGTCAAGGTGAAAACACACTCATAAAAAGAGACAGTCTTTATAGGGCTGGCCAGGATGAGACGATTACTCACACCGGAGTGACACAGAAACTCATATCTTGTTCATTTTTTTCTCTGTGGCAAGTCGCTGTAGATCAAGTAGTCAAATCTCTTTTATCATTCGTCTATGCACGCGTGACTGTTATTTAGAAGCGCACCATGAGGACTCTTGGACTTTTTAAATATAAAACCTGAAATGATTTAAAAAAAAAATACATGTAATTGTTTTGATATTACAATTACAATTAGGGTTAGGATATAATTCCAGCTCAATGAGTGTGTAGAATGTGTGTAGCTTAGAACGAATAGCTTTACTACTGGCTGTGCGAGGTGGCCAAAGCGATGGCTGTGAATACCCTGGGTCACCCTGTAGCCCACCCCTGAGTATGATGTCCTTAATGTCCTGGTTTTCAACTCTGTGCAGGATGTAATCATTCCTGAGCTCATGAAGAAGCTGGATATCCTGGGGGATAACGGGGTGAGTTTGAACTTTCTGTTGGATTAACATAGATTTCAATAGATCCCTTTTTAACTTCATTCAGTCTTATAACATCTGATAAGTCTATGTGCGTATTGTATTTTCCGTAGAATCTCAGAAATGAGGAGCAGGTAGCTGTGATCCAAGCAGGGACGGTGATCTCATTGTGTGAAAAGGTGAGTGGAAAGTCTCTCTTGCACATTGTGGTTTTACTGCCACACAGTGGGCACACATTGCTACTGTACAGCACTTTATCCCAACACTGTGTACCAAGTGCTGCTGCACTTAATTCACTTTTGTTGAAAGTAAATGGAAATTTGTCCAATACAAACACTGAGAAGGTGTTAATCCCTCACCTCTATGTTTCCTCCCCATTCTCCCCTGTCTGCAGTGGTTGAAGCAGATAGATAACACAGAGGCTGCCCTCACACAAAAGATGATTGACCTGGAAAATGACAAGGTGAGAAATTGATTCAGAACCACTTCCTTCAGATTTCTTCAACTGATATCATATTGAAATTTATGAACTGACATTTTCTAACACTATGAAATACTAGTTTTTCTACCATTATATACACAGAGGAGCATATTCATTTTCTTGTTCTTTTGCTGTTCTGATGTCGAAATCTAGGCTGCTTCTTATTTTGATTTTGAATTCTGTGTTTCATGTTTCACTGTTGATGCATGTTGTTGCAGGAGCTGTTCAGTAAACAAAAGGGATTCCTTGAGGAGGAGTTGGACTACAGGAAGCAGGCCTTGGACCAGGCGTATATGGTACGAAGCCTGGAGCAGTATTACACGGCGTGGTTTTACCTGCAGTACCTGTGCCTTTTTTTTATTAAAGATGGCCAAACTCAGTCATTTATATTGCTTACATATTAACCAGGACTCTATAAAAGACAGACAATGGCTCATGATAAAGTGACTCAGGAATGCAGGGGTGCTACATTGTCATTTCAGCATGACACATAAACATTTGGAAGCCCATTAAACACCATGAATGCAACATACTCCATTAAGGTAAAAATTTGTCACATTGTGTTGGGATACTGCATCTTTTACCACTGAAGTCTAAATTATTTTAGTGATTGTAGCCACTGAATTGGCTGAGGTACTTGGCTGCCTGTTTATTAGCCTAATTCTCTTTTATTTTCTAAAAAGGCAAACCACTATTTTATTCTCCTGAACAGTAGAAATTATAAAGAAATGATGCACTTGTGAATATCGTGTGTGACTCGGTTTAAGTGGAAGTTGACGAAAATTCTAGACAAAGTGGGTTTGATAAGTTTTTGATGTTAGATTTGTTAGCATGAAGAATTTTAAAACATTCTCCTTTCCGATTTACTGAAACAGTTACCATGAAAACAGAAGTTAACACTTAGGTCACTCTCCATGTAATTCTAACCATTTTATTTGGTCAGTTTTGGTGTTGGTTTGTGTTATTGGTCCCACTTGATATTGTGTTGGCCACATCTTGGTTTTTACATGGTATGTGATGTGTCACTCTGAATTCTCCTTGTGGGGGATAGAACTGGAGTTGTTCATTCATTCAGTTACCATGTAAAGGTCAAGCCTGACTTGCCCTCAATATACAGTGGAACAGTGTTCCCCATATCTGCCATGGTCACAGTGGTGTGTGTATGTGTGTGTGTGTGTGTGTTTGTATGCATATGTGTATCCGTTTGTGTGTGCTTGTGCATGCCTGTGTGTGTTTCTGCATGCGCATGTGCACGTCTGCGTGTGTGTGTGTTTGTATACCTGTATGTGTGTATATGTGGGTGGCTGTGCAGAGGATCGAGGAGCTGGAAGCCACGCTGTATAGCGCTCTGCAGCAGGAGCAGCCGGCATGCCAGGCGGTGGCCGAGTCGCTGACAGACAGGCAGAGGGAGGAGCTGAGGCTAGCTGTGGACAAGCTGCGGCGTCAGATTCTCCGGCAGAGCCGGCAGTATGACAGTCAGATCTTACAGGAGCGCATGGAGCTCCTACAGCAGGCCCAGCAGGTAAGGCTCAGAACAAACCCAGTCAGGTTGTTGAGTCCTGCCCGCCCTCAGTCTGACCCCTGGTACCTGTCTGAAACTTCTGACCCCATCAGACCTCTGGTGCTATGAAAAAGATGCAGTATCCCTGTACGTGCTACCTGTAACTCTATCTGTAAGTGCATATGTAAAAGTGGAAGAGTGAAAGATGAGACAGAATGACTTTGACTTTGTGTGAGTATGTGTGTGAGTTTCATTGTGATCTGAACCCCCCCACTCCTTCAATATCCCTCCACTCAGCAGCCCTCCCTCAGTAGTTTTACACCCATGGCTTGTACACTATGTTATTCATTGACTACATCAACAACCACAGCACCTTGGGATTCATTTGAATCAGTTATACTCTAACTCACTAACACCGTAACCTCTAACCACAGAACACTTATTGATCAACTGCTTATGAAATATAGTAACAAAATATTGTTAAACATCCTTAAGATAGAAATAAAAAAAAGAGCATGTCATGTATTAGGCCAGAAATCATAGTTTCAGGAGGTCACAAACATGTATCTGTTAGGCCTCATTCAATTTATTGTAGAATAAAGTTCAATAAAATATTTCCTTTACCCCACAGTTGGGCTTTTATTTACAAACATTCCCAGTTCCATATACTTAAGACCTACACAGCTTTTTGAAAATTGTCTTATAAATTATAAAGTTCAGTATATTTAAAGCATTCAGCAATAAACACATATTTGCAACAGATGTACATTTCGTACAAAAAGTTCTGTTTTAGTTTCTAAATGTCATGCCTGCTTTAGTGCATAGAGGTGTAGTGTGTAGCAACAGCAGGTCACACATGTTTTCTGTAGAGCTGTTTAGGCTAATGTGTTAGATACAATGAATAGAGTCAATGAACAAACTGCTCAGCTTCAAAGTCCCAAAGACAGAGTTGTTTCTACAGTTCAGTTAAATCTGTTCTTTGGTTGCCATGGCAGCTCATTCTTATTCAGCACAGCTACCATGGAGACAGAGGGCATGATGGGAAGGCGGGAGATTATTCAGGCTATATACGGGAATAGTTGAATCACAGTCTTATTAACTGTTAAACAACTGTTTGGTTTGTACCTAAAAGAAGTGATTTCGTGAGATTTCAGTCTAATGATTTTGTTTTTGTGTTTTAACATATTTTGATGATCTAACCTCCTGTCTTTGCGTTGCAGAGAATTAGAGAGCTGGAGGACAGGATTGACTTGCAAAAGAGACAAATAAAGGAAATAGAGGAAAAGGTACATATTCAGATTTGATTTGTTTCTTTCCAAGAAGTCTTATTGTCATGACTGTGAGAGCAAGTGTTGAAGAGGATGTGAGGCAGTTTATATCTACTTTACTGATGCTGTGTGTTGTCTTACAAACTTTTTGACACCCCTTTTCTTCTCTCCCCTTTCTCACCTGTTAATTAAACCCCTTGTGTTCCTTTAGTTTTTGTTCCTCTTTTTGTTTTTCTCTTTAGCATTTATTCTTTGGCCTTAATGAAAATGACTGTGGACCCACATCAGGTAGAGCCTATATCTACTGTATTATATCAGTATTTAACTTGGTTATAGTGCTGATAGTAAAAGCGATAATGACAAGGAAAGAATTTGATAATGTTTTCTTCTCCCTTAGGTGTTAAGGTGCTGTGGAGGAAAGCAAGGATGAAACAATTGTTTTTTATGCATTTGTAGACAGTTCACGAAAACCGTATGGCCTTTTTGATAAATGCGCACTTTTGCAGAAAACCCTTACCTGGAATGCAAGCATATTTGAAATCTTAATAAATTACCAGATATACATGAGATCAAAGTGAGATTTATTTATGAGTAACATCTACTATAGTGGTTCTTGGACCTGGAACATAAAAACCCTAACTCCTCTGTGAGAAGCAAACACATGGATTTACCGAGAAAACTCTGAATCAGAGGATTTAGGAGAAGAGCCACATCCTCGGCTAAAGGAATGCCCAGTAGGACAATAGAAAAGGAGAGATGGTGGGAACAGAAGAAGAGTGAAAGTACAGGGCTGAGTGAGGGGGTGAACAAGCTGATTGCCAACTGGATATGGAGGATTCTGGCAAAGTCCAACGTCTGTGCCGTTTCTAAGGAAACAACAAAGCGACAAAGTTCACAGAGCAGAAGCTGAACTTACCAGAAGCTGGTTGTGATGAGAGGACGAATCTGCAATCAGCGGAAAAACAAAATCAGGTTATTATTTAAGTTTATCTTTTACAGCAAACTGTTTTAAGACCGTGTGAATTTTGCTGCTTTTAATTTCCAAGAATACATCACAAAATCTGTAAATTAATGATTTTCAGATTCTACAATTGTGAACCAGTTATACATTGACTTTTGTACTGACTCATGTATTTTTGCTGAGCTTAAAGGATAGGTTCACATTTTTTCATGTCTTCCTCAAAACAACAGTCACTTAACCACATCTCTAAACATCAAACAAGCACGAGGCTAGTGATTTCTGCAACAAAAACTGTTCACAGGCATGTGAGTGTTGTTTTGAGAGAGACATGAGAATGTGAAATTAACCTGTGAGATTTTGAGTTGGGAGGGTTTGTGTAGTGCAAAGGGGAGAGGGTGATTAGGAGGTGGGGTAACCTGAGAGATACCTGTGCCCAACAACTTGCTACCAAGCTGTTGACGTGGTGAATAATAGATGACTGTATCTTAAGTGTATGTATCTTTATATGTGTTTGTGTTTATCACATGGATTAGCAAAAACAAGCAGCTCAAACAAGTGTAGAAAAAATGTGTAAGTCTCCTTCTTGTGCCACAGGTAAAAGTCACTTAGTGGGCACAGACTGACCAATGGAAGATCACACGACCTCACCAGATGCGGCGGGTACCGGAAGCACTCCGTTTGCCATGGTAACAGACTCTGTAGGAGCTGAACCGGACCTGCGGGTTCTGTGCAATAGATTGGAGGTCCTGGAGCAGAAAGCAGGTTCAGTCATCCAGCCTGACAGCTATCTGAGGAGCAGGTGAGAGACACGGGGGATCCAGTGACACACACCCACACACCTGCTACTATATACTCACTTTTAGCCAAGGTGATATCACGTATCACATGCACCTGACTGCCCTGCACACTTGCATGCTTGCTACAGGAGCATTTAGCTGCATCTTTCTTCATGTTTGGAGGTAAAACGGAATCAAGCTTATTTCCTGTTGCTATGAAAATTTAGTTGAAGTTATTAAGATGACGTAATGCAAGCTTGTTTTGCTGTGCTGCTGTGTCAGGATCAGAGAGTTAGAGAGGTCTGAGAGGAGCTTGCTGCTACAGCTATATCAGCTAGCGTCTGCCTCCCAGCTCCCCAGCATGCAACACTCCCAGAGGCTTGACCAGAGACTCCATCTGCTCAGGGAGGAGGTCAGGAACATGGTAAGTGCTTTGGTTTTCTGAGGGCTTCAGTGGGCATTGATGTACCATTTGTACACCAATGCCAACAGTTGAGAGCTTGTGAATTTTGGAAGATGATGTATGACTGAGTTCACACAGGTCATACCTACTGCAGATATGAACAAAACGTTTGTGCAGTGTATAAAGGATGGACAAAATAATGGGGAGTGACTTCAACTCTGAAATAACGTAATTTAGAAGGCTGGGTTTATAAGGTGGACTGCACAGGAGCATTTTTTGCTATGAAAGAGATTTTGCAAAATGCACTTTAATATGTAAATTTGAAGTGTTTTCAAAATAACTAACAAGCCACCTCCAATTATATGTTGCCATTCATCAAAACAGTGCCCAAATATTTTATCTGGAGGAGAAAAATGCTGAAAGAATACAGCACATTCGACTCATTATGACCCACTACTGTGGCAGTTAGTGTTTTCTACACAAAGGCTTTATGTCATTTCACCTACGCTTAAGTAAATTTAGTTTAATTAGACTTAGTCAGTAGCCAGCATAATCCACGTAATATCTTGAATGCCTTGAAGGATTTATTTATTTTTTAAAATTTGGCACAAATGTTCACTTGGACTCAATGATAAATGGATTGTATTTTGGTGGTCGAAAGTCACTGTGACCTCACAAAACATGTTTTTGGCCATAATTCAAGAATTCATAATAATGACAACATGTCATGTCTACTGTGATGAAATGATGACATTTTTTTTTATCTAACAGGTCAAAGCTTAACTTTACTGTGACATAGTATTCTTCTGCAAAAATATTTTCTTGCTGTTGTTTAACACCATAAATCAGGAACAGTGGGGGAGACTGTGACCATTTTTCACACTTGGTCAGATATTGAATTGGTAACGCTAATCTGGGTGTCCACTTGTAAAAGTCCTTCAAAGTCTTCACCACATTTACTATAAAAATGGGAATATACATTGATGTAAACTACAACTTCACTGGTTATTAGAAGCATACAAGTCAGTAATGCAAATTAATTTGATATCTTTAAGTAATTGAAAGAAGTTGTTTGTTTACTCATGTACAGCAAAATAAAGGAACAAACATAAAAGCTATTGTTAATACAAATATAACACTAACACAGTAACTAGTATAGGTCAGGAGATGACTTAGCGACAACATGTTGTAATGCAAGCTTTAAGTCAAGGTGCCGGGAATAATTTAGGAGTATTTCAGACTTTACTGTGGTAATATTTTCTCTCTATCTCCATCGTTCTCCGTTTCCTTTTTTCCTCCCATTCAGACTCAGGAGAAGGAGCGAGGAGAGCGAGTATGGAGGGATCGATTGCAGCGCTGTCAGAGACAACTGAAGGCCAAAGAGGAGGAGATGACTCGTCAATCCCAATATTTTGCAAACTTTAAAACCCAACTCCAACACAAGCTCAGCCTGGCCCGGGACAAAGAGCAGAGCCTACAGAATCGGATCTACACTTTAGAGAAGCAGCTACTTGACATGACTGTGAGTGCTGCCACTGGCATGGCATCAATCAGAGCAGTCAGAATTACTGCTGGGACTGTAGCACACTTAGATGAGCGCGACAGATTGCCCTCCATGAGAGGAGAAGGGGAAGGAGAAGAGGAGAAAAAGGAGGAGAGGAGGAAGCAATGGCTGCCAAGTGTGGCAACTGAGAGAGAAGAAAGGCGAGAGGGGGATGAGGGAACGACAGAGAAAGATGCTGAAGGAGGAAGAAACAAAGACATTAAACAGACAACAAATGAGGCCAGACTGCAAGGCTTCATTATCAGCCTGCAGGAGGATCTGAGGGTGCTGCTGGAGAGAGAGGAGCATAAGATGACTGAGCAGAGGGGGCTAATGGAGCAGCTCCAGGAGGCCCAAGAGAACAACCACTTCCTGAGCTGTAAAGTGGAGGAGATGAAGGCAGAGGAGCACCGGCTAAAACTGTCTGAAAGCTCCCTCATGGAGGAGGTTGAAGAACTGAGAGAGGAGAACCAAAGAGTCCAGCAGATCCTCAGGGATGCAGCTAACCAAGCACCTAGTCAGCCATCCACAACCCCTAAGGCCACATGCCTGAACCCTGGGACCATCTCGCGTAGTTGCAGTCCTGCTGTTTGTTCTTTGCCCTTCAACGCTCTCTCATATATGACTACCACGGGACACTCGTCATCAGGGAGCTTGGGAGAGGTGTGTAAGACACAGTTGCTGATATTATTATTATAACCATCATTTATTCAGGCAGTTTCATTGCAGTTAAGATCTTTTTTGGAAAAAAGATCTGAGTACAGAATAAGAAGTAAAACAGATAAAACAGAACATAAACACTCAGTGACCTCCATAGAAAGGTCTAAAATTAATTTCATCACAAGTAATGAGATTTCGCTGTTTTATTGTCTCTTGCAGTTTATTCCAGTTATGTGATTCAACATACTCGACACCACTCCTCCCAAGTTCAGCATTTACTTGTAGGACATTAAAAGTTAACCAATCCTAAAAATGAAGAAGTGTAGTTTCAACTTTGAGAAGAGATAAAGTATCGTGTTGTCATGCTGATTTAGTAGGAGACATTAATAAACTACAAATCATAGTATGTAGCTCCATTTACCTTTGAGGGCCAACCTACTTTTTCATATAGTACACAGTGAGAACAATATTTACCTCCTGTAATAAAAATCAGGGCACAGAAGTGAACTGCATCAAGGTGTGTTAGGGTGAAATGAGCAGCATGAGAGTACAGGATATTTCACAAGTCGAGGACAGACATGACGGTTGATTGCACAACCGTTTTCCTCTCCTCAAGAGAAAACATGCCCTATTATGATGTAACAAGCAGCCAGTTTTTGCTTTCAGATTCTGTCCCAGTTGTTCTATGTGTGGTTTAAAAGTAATGTTGCTGCAGCATCAAACTAAATTGACAAACATTTGTTTTAGTACTGTTATGTGTATGGATGGCATAAAAATGTTATATATAAATCATGAGGTTTGTTAGTGGCTTATACATGTTTGAAAAGTGACCAATTACTGCTTTTCTGTTTCTGAACTCCAAGACAAAAGCTTTTTGGTTAATTGATGTGGGACACATCATTATTTTAAAATGTAGTCACTAGTTTTCTGGGATTCAGTATCACCTGATTTTCACTTCAGACGGGCTAATAATGGTGTGTAAAAACAACTAAAGGAATCAATAAATATTTGATCCAGTGTTAAGTATCAGCTTAGTGTTGTAGATTTCTTCTGGTTTATGATTGAGAATGTATTACAAAATGAGAAGGGTAAATTCTCCCAAAGAAAGCTCTTTTGCTGGGATTTAGTGTTACATAACCACCTAACTTATTGTTAACGCTAATACAAGTTTCTCTAAATATCAGTATTTCACAATAGCTGGGACATAAATTAGGATTACACTGTGTAACAAGAAGGCCTGTCATTTTCATATGTTAAACTATTATCAACCTTTGTCTCTTTGTGCAGGTCAAGCCGACCTCAGATGAGGGAATAGGAGAGCCACATTCGTCTCCAGTTCTTTCTGTTCACCACCAGGCTGCAGCAGAGAGCACACAAACCAACACACAGGATCACCCCTCATCAGCCAAATCAAAAACTCCACCTAAAACTGTTCCCCTCAACCTATTTCACCACGTTGGTGCCATATCTGACAACAGCTTTGAGTCAGTTTCCTTGACGACAGAGTCATTAGGTGAGTTTAAAGTGGGGAACTGGTGCACTAAAGGGATCCTAAACTTGGAAGAAAGCCCCAGCGAGGAATCTGATGCCCTAAGGGAAGCGTACAGGAGCTTGGGGTTCGGGGAAGATCTTCAAGTTCTTCAAGAGCAACATGACAACCTGGAGGTTGCCCTGCAGCATGCGCAGGATCAGCTGCAGGTGATGGCTCAGGAGAACGCTCGACTGAAATTACAACTCAGGAAAAAAGTAGAGGAGCCGCAGAGGGAGACAGAGCAAGAATCTTCAAAAGAAAAGGTACATCATGGGTGCTAAAATACTCTCAGATGTTTTCAAAGTTTAAAGAAGGTTTGTTCTAAATCACTACTCATACCTCTCTGTACAGATCAGCACTCCATCCACCAATGATAGAGCTGATCACCTCCAATCAGCTCCTACCCAAGACGACACCATTCTCGCCCTCGACCAGGGTGATCTCGTCCAAGCCCTTAATCGGGAAAACCGGGCCCTGGCAGATCGGATCCAGGAGCTGTTGGCTCACATTGAGCTCAGAGAGGAGGAGATCATGAAACAGCAAACCCAGCTGAGAGAACTCGTCTCCAGACTAGAGGAGGATGCTGTCCGGCTGGATCAGGAGAACCAGGAACAAGGGTGTCTGATCTCAGAACTCACCAAGAAGACTGAGGACGATCTGAATACCATTATGGAGCTGCAGCAAAAGTTAGTGGAAAGTAAAGAGCATGAGGAGGAGTCACAGGGTCATAAGCAGCAGTGTAGTGAATGTAGAGCTGCAGTATCAGGAAGTTCCATACAGAACAACCAAGAAGAATGTGTCAACAGTTTAGTTGAAAGTGTGCTAAAAGGAGAAGAACAGTCGACGTTTATTCAAGATATGTACACTTTGCCCACATCTGCTGCATCTGTTTGTCCACATAATAATAAGAGTGATTCATTACAGAACAGCTCACAGAATAGTCTGCATGTGACTTCACTGACAGATCAAGTGGCCCATCTAACTAACTCAGTCCAGAGCCTCAAAACAGAACAAGAAGAACTGAGTGGATCAATAAATTCTCTCAGAGAGCAGCAAAGAGAGGCATGTCTGTCAGTCCAAACACAAACAGAAGAGAAACAACAATTAACTCGTACAATTTGGGGACTGAAAGAAGAGAAAGACTGCATCTCTCAGTGTCTGGCTGGCCTTAAGCAAGAGAAAGAGCAGCTGAGCAGGACAGTCTGTGGGCTGAAAGATGAGAAAGACCAGTTTATAAGATCCATGAGTGGCTTAAAAGAGGAGAAAGAGCAGCTAACAAAGTCTTTATCTGCTCTTGAAAGAAATAAGGAGGCAATAATGGAATCTCTTTCAAGTGGAAAAGAAGAGAGAGATCAAATCATGCAGTCGCTGCAAAGTTTACAGACAGAGAGTGACCAGGTAAGCCAGGCAGTGCTTTATTTGAAACAAGAGAGAGACAAACTAACCAATTCCCTCAAGTGTCTGAAGGAACAGAGAGACCAGGAACAATTATCTCACACTTTAAAAGAAGACCGTGAGAGGATGATAAAATCTGTTTGCAGTTTGGAAGAAGAAAAGGGGAGAGTTGAACATTCAGTCAGCTGCTTGAAAAAAGAGGAAAAGCAGTTAATGCTCGTAATCCAAGGACTGAGAGAGGAGAGAAACGGTCTGCAAACAGAGGAGAGGAATCAGAAGCAGCATTTTTTGAATCCAGGTAGCGCCGGCATGACGAAGAATCCCGAGACTCTTGCTGGGTCAGGAGACTATGCTACACAAAGATGTCAGACTAATAACCACATAGGAAGCTTTATACAGGTATCAACTTTGATGGGATTTATACATTTGTGCATGATGTCAGTGTCTATTATTTTATATATTATTTAAGCTTCATGGCTCATTATAAAACATCATTACTGTTTACTAACACCAAATGGTTTTGATGGATAACAGGAGCAAAGCGATTTGAAGAGAGAGATTGAAGCTATAGGAGCAGAATTCAAGTGGTCACAAGAGGAACTGGACAAGAGCCATGTAGAGGTAAGTTTAGACAACTTCTGTTTTATAACTGTAGCCATGGAGGTATTGTAGTTTTCGCTGCATATCATATATAGTCATTATTTAGTAGAAAATGTTCTGATTTAAGTACTGGTGTTTATTACTGCTTGCCATTTTGTATCGAAAAGGCCATGATGTATCATTAAAAACTTCACTAACTTCACTTCTTTTTTTGTACATGTTCAGACCAAGAGATTGCGCAGCGAATTGTGTCAGTCAGAAACCAGAAGGGAGGAGGCAGAGAGAAAGGCAACCCGAGCAGCTGAAGAGGTGATGAGGCTGACAGATGCAGGCAGTCAGATGGAAGAAACCAGGATGGAAAATGACAACCTTACAATACAGGTATTTAATTAGATGTACAGCTTCAACCAAAACCCACTGAACCCGCAAGATGTTCTGGTGAAGCAAATGAAATTGAATACAACTACAGCAGCCTTGGTAAACAGTCAAAATAGTTTAATAATGCTTATATGAATTACTACTAGTAAAAAAGGACCAAAGAGAAGTCCAGGGACTGAGATGGACACTTAAGGAATGATTCCTAAACAAGACTTTTCTTTACTTTGACTAATTCTTGACCTGTTGGAAAATTCGATGATTTCCAAACTTACATTTACAGGTACACACTTTGGGTACCACATTGTTAGAATATGGTTCAGCGAAACTCCCCCATCACAGGATAGACCAACCTCCGTGCGTGATTGTTGGAATTGTGTGCTTTTTAAACAGACTTTACTCTTCTTATACCAAACATACTGCTAGTCCAGAGGTCAAACAGTTCCAGTTGAGCTTAGTCACTCCATAAAACAAACTCCCAGAGCTCTACAGGCTGATCCACTTCTAAAGTCAACTGTTATGTTCCCTTTTGGTCAGGATTGGAGTGTGATGACATTTCCTGGCATGACCTCCTTGCTTTTTCAGCCATTTCTTATAGTCTGCAGGGACAATTTTGCCCTCATCAGGTCCTCCTGCAACTCTTTGGCAGTAATACAGAGGGTTTTCCTCATCTGCTGTTTTCAAATGTCACATTTCACTTGGAAAATGTTGCTCTTTCTTTCACACTCAAGAAGATTTTCTGCTCTACCATGAGTTTTACACTTCCTATTAAAGGTCTGTTTTTCAGAACTATAAGTGTCTTGGAAATGTCTTTTTAAAAAAAAAACAAAACAAACATTGCCGTTTTGGCGTAATGGAGTTATTTCTTCATTTAGCTTTCAAGACAACTTCTTTTTCGTTGCTATTTTTGCTCCTCAGCTTGAACACCTGTACATATGGGATTTATATCTGTATCACAGCCAAAACACATTTAGCATTGCAAGAGCTTCCAAAAGCTTAATTTTGTTTCTCACAGTTGGGTAGCCATACACACAGGGAAGTGATCAAAAAACAGCAATATTAGGCAGGGGTTGAATAATTCTGAAATGGCTATAATACAGAAAAATCTGCCAAACGCAGGAACAATGCATTAAACATTACATTTTCAATTAGCCATCAACTCATGCAAATGCAATTTACAAATGTTTGGATCATTATCATTTAGACTCCCTACAGTGTTGTTCAATAGCTTTCCCTCCATGTGTGAAGCCACGTGAGACACAGTCGATCTGTTACAGTAACTGTGTCTGCTGCAGGTGAAGGAGCTGCAGAGCAAACTGGCAGGCCTGCTCAGGGAGAAGACTGATGCTCTGTCACTTAAGGCACAGATAGAGGAGCAATACAACATCCTCACAGCTCAGCTCAAAGCTAAGGTAAGAATGACAAATATTCAGTTTTTTGATTTGTTTTATATCATAAAATGTTTGAAGTCACTACATATATCAAACTAACAAGCTTTAACCATGAACTGTTGACATAAGGTTGACATCATGATCTATTGTGGAGCAATCATAGTCGACTGCATACTCACATATTGTAGCTGCACTGAAGGTTCTGAGTATCATTTTTCTTCAGTTTTTTGAGAGACAGTTTTAATCATAAATCCTCTGTGTGTGTGTGTGTGTTTGTGTGTGTGTGTGTGTGCATGCGTTTGTGTGTGTAAAACCCCACAGACTGTCGCTCTAGAGGAGCTGAACTCAGAGTATATAGCTCTGAAAAGAGGGCAGGGCAACAGGGATGATCTGAGCGCTGTTCTTGTCTCACTCAGGGCACGTTACAATGACATCAGATCAAAGGTGGGAAACCAGTCAGAATTTTCAGTTTGTTCTGTCTTCACTTGCATCTTAAAGTTGTGTTGAAATGTGTTTAATTTTATTTTGTAGTATGATGCACTCCTTAAACAGAGAAGCCAGGCAGGTCTGGATATAGCTCCTTTAAAGGTGAGGAAACAAAGAATATATTTATACTCTTTTACCATGCCTGCTGTTCACTGTTGTGCAGGATTGTCAGTGTGTCCACTGAAGTGCTTTTAGTGGTTGATGTTGACTGACAGCCGTTTTGTCTAACCACAGGCTAAGCTGTCCTGCCTGGTGGTGAAGTGTCAGGAGAGGAACAGCTTGTTAGTTCAGATGATGAAGGCCATGCACAGACAAGGATGTGTGGACCCCGAGCTCACACAGCAGGTTGAGCATCTGCTCAGTGATGCGGCTCTGCACGACTACACTGCAGCATTTACACCAGGAAGCAACATTAAGGCCCGAGAGTACTGTATTGGCTTCATACCAGAGTTTATTTCAAAATTCCAAGACCACATCAGTGGATACACACCTGATCAGACCTGCCTGGTTGTTTCCACCTCTGCAAGCAGGCAACAACAAAGTGGAGTCACACCTGAATCTGCAGTGCAAGGCAGCAAAAGTGAAAAACACATTTCCATAGTTAATACTGAATCTTCAACCGATCCTCAAGGCTGCAGCAGTGAAGTCCAACCTGCAGGAGCACTTAAGAAAAATGCCAACTCACCTGTGCCAACCTCACCTGTGCAAGAGCATGCCAGTGTCCAGATGTCATCGTCACCTGTTGTTCCAGTTAAAGAGAGCCTGATCACCAGAAAAGTACAGGTGATACAACACAAACAAATCTTAATTCAAATATCGTAGATGTGACATTTTAAAAGAAATGCACTATTACTGCAACTATTTTATTCAGAGTTAATTTATTGTCACGATGCCAGCTTTTAAAATTCAAAATACCCCTTTGATCATTTGTACTTTAAACTTGAAAAATCTAAGAGTCTTTTTTCCAACCCGACCACAGCTGTCTTCTTCTGCCATTGGACCAATCCAAGCAACCATTCGACCAGAGAAATTTGGAGTCCATCATGCAGACATTATAGCGAAGTCCTCCCCAGATCTGACCAGTTTGAATGAATCCTCAATGAGTCCCATCCCTCCCTCCTCCAGCACCCGAGTCAGTCCGAGCAGGAGGCTGAGTAGCCCTGAGAAGATCCTCAACCTGCACGAGCAACTGCAGAAGACTCTGATGAGCAGCTATCAGGTACGCGGACGATTTTGGAATATTCAGTAACACAGAGAAAGGATATTGTCAAATTCTGCAAAACGTTAACGTTACTTTCTGCTAAGTTCTGAATTGAACTATAAACTGTGTTCTGCGTTCAGAAATGTCCCAGGTTAAAGGTTTCCACACAAGGCACATGTTTCTGTTAGTACAAATCTGTTTGTCTTTTTCCAAGACTCCAGAGAGCCGAGGAAGAAGACAGCAGCCCAGGCGGAGTCTGTCACTCTCAGCTCCAGCAGACCTGAAACCAGCCTTCCAGACACACAAACAGAACCTCAGTTTCACTTTTCCACATGCCAACTCTCTCCCATTCACCACTGCTTCGCACCAAGCTAAACACACTCTAGTAGTACCAACTACAAATGTTGCCACTTGTAAGTCGTCAGCACTTTTTAATGCAGTTGCATCCAGATCTGCAAATGCGACGTTCAGTCCTAGCATGTGTACAAACCATCGCCTTAAAGCGGACACATTTAAAACAACAACGTCCGCTCTTTCTAGCTCTTCTAACTTACCTTTTTCCACCGTGGCACCAAACAAAGTTGAATCGACATCAAGCAGTGAAACTAATATCGCAATATCTCCAAAACTGACAAAGAAAATCACTGCTATACCTGATGTGTCTGTTGTTGCACATACAGCTTCTACTCCGCCAACTCTGAAGACCACTACCTTTGACTCTAATGCCACTAATCCTAAAACCACTGCCCCAGACACAACTGCCCCAAGCATATCAACTGCCCCTAAGGTTAATATTTTTAACATGAATTCTAAAATGGATGGTGCTGCCCCTGCATATGATAGCTTTGCATTCACTACATCCTGCACTCAGTCTGCTCATTGCTCTACTGAGAGATCCAACAAGTCTGCCAGAAAGTTCACTCCTCTTCCAGAAAAGACTAAACCGGCAAGACCTAAACCAGGTAACGTGGATATTAAATGTCTGGGTTTGTTTACACAAAGGTAAAACACATTCTTATTTAAAGTTCCGGGAGAAGAAATGTCTCTTTTATAAAAAGCTAAAATGTACAATAAAACCATATTTGTTTATCGTTGTAGCTTCTGTGCATGATGTTGCAATATTTAGAATATTAGTTTTTGTTTTTTTGTGTGCTGCTGCAATGTAATCACACTCCGTCTAGATATGGGCTGTTCTCTATTTCTGTCTCACATATTGAAAAATGTTACAGCACATTCCAGTCTTGTTGCCCTGTTTATTGCCCCTATAACACACTGCAGTACATACTGTTAACTTTAAAAGCTCCTCTCCACACAAAAATGCCTTTTGGGTACTTGTTTCACGTTTACCCTCTCTGCAGAATGATGTGTGTTGAGAGTTTGACATTAGAGTTTATCACATGTACCTGCAAACAGGATCTGTGACATCATAACAAGCCAATCAAGTGGCAAGTAAAGTAAGTCCATTTAGGATTCTTGTTGAGGATTGTAGGAGGCATTTTGTGCCCAATATTTAAACTTTTCAAATGAAAAATATTTGCATATTTGTCGATTTATATAGATTTTGCGATGACTTAGGAGATGGATATTCCATTCAAGAAAATATTCTGAAAAAACCCATATCAAACACCAAATATGGTTAAAAGAACTCACTTGGGTTCATTTGTAAGTTCTGAATGTACTCGGTCCTTTTGTGTTTGTTGTGGAAGAATTTTAAGTGAGTAATAAAGTATCATGTCATTTCACAAAGAAAAAAAAAAAGAACACAAGTAGAAGCTATAATTGTTCTTCATCTTTCTTTGGCTAATCTCGTCCAGAGGCTCCAGCCGAGGTTCGCTCACTCGAGGTCATTAAAACAGTGGGCCAGAGCAGCCTGATGATCGGCTGGGAGAGGCCGCCCCTCGACGAGCTGGGCTGCAGTAACGGCACATTTGTGTACGGATACAGGGTATGCAGAACACACATACTGACTTTTATTTTTGGAAGATTTACTTCTTATCTTCTTATGTATTGCTTTATTGCACTGTAAAATGTTGTGCTCTTCTTGAACTTATTTCTTGTCAGGTGTTTGTAGATGGAGACTTTCACAAATCTGTCATGAGCTCAGCATGCACCAAGGTATCTGACCTCCTCGACATTTCATAGCTGAATATTATTACATCTTGTTATCATTACGAAAAAATACCCAAACCAGTACATGTATTCTAAATCTTGTTTTTCTCTGTCCAGTGTATTTTGGAGAATGTTGACCTGAGCGTCCCAGTCCACATCAGTGTCCAGACACTGGGATCTAATGGTCTCTGCTCCAACAGCGTCCACACCATGTACAGGACCTCAGTCAGAACAGATCAACTCTGAGTCACAGTGTCCTGATGACAACAACCCTCACAGTGGCTTAGATCAACAAGTAAGTTCTGCAATGTTAGACACCCCTTTGTCCTGAGATATTTATTATTATTATCAAATACGTCTTACGTGTTTTACATTTATCTCTTTGTGTCTCCATGAAAATACAGCAAATCCTCAGTAAAAACCTTCATCACAGTGGCCAAGATTTGAATGGTAAGTTATGTGCATCTTTGTGTTTGTTTGCGTGTTGATGTACTAGATGTCATAATTATTACGACTGATTGATTGCAGCAGCATGTTTGTAGCATTATTAGGTTAAATGTTTTTCTTTTATCTTGCATGTTTTGCTTAGTTTTTAAGTTCACCCTGTGATTAAAAAAAAACTAATTTCAGACATTGAAGTTCTAATACATTCTAGTTGAAAACTTTTCTCTCTGGCCATCTCCTCTTTCAAAGTTTGAGACTATGCAGTGACAGTCTACTTTTTTTCTCTCCGTCCTGTGTGTCCTGTGTGTGCATGTGTCCGCCCTTCAGTGCACAGCCATCTATAGCTGCAGCCCTCGGTGGGACCGTCCTAACCTCCACCTCAGCTGAGACACAGTCACACTGCTGGGACAACCACGCCATGTGAGGCTCAGGTCAACCAATCAGAAAAACTCATCTCACATGGTCATTACCAGCCTATCAACATCAAGTGACCTGTGGCCGGCCACTAAACCTCGAAAAGATTAACAGAAGATGTCAAAAAAAAAAACTGTATAAGATTTCTGCACTCTGCGCTCACAGTTAACCTGCATGTAAAAGCAGCTTCTTCGTTCCTTGTCGGAAGAACTACCTGTTTCAGAGTCTCACCTGTTGGACCTCTTGAGTGAGTAAGACTTTTTGACTGCCAGATGAAAGACCAGAGGTGGCTGCCAATTAAAACAAGTCCTGAAAAAACCGCTAGGAGTGGATGTTTATAAAGCCAAGCTCAATCACGTTGTAAAAAGCTGCCTGTGACACCAACATTTACTAACATTGATCAAGCAAGACATGGAAATGTTGGAGGCATATCTGCATCTGCTGCACACTTTTACACTGTGTTAAACACTGAAAGATAACGTGTCATACTGCTTCTGCAAAGAGTCCCGCTGCTGCCTCTCTGGACTCTATGACGTGAGCGGCTGGCTAAAAGGGAATCCGCTGTATGAAAAGCCTTTTTGACAGCAACACATACTGCTGACACAACATTGTACACGAAGGTCATAGTACTTGATTTTTACACATGAAGCCAAATATGTGAAAAGATGATTCACTCCAAAGACTTGTCAGTTTCCTTCTCCTCATAGGTCTACGGGATTTCTTTAAACACAGAAGCCAGATGTTGTTTAAGTTTTAAAATTTGCACACAATCATCAATGATAGCTAGAAGATGAGATTTAAAAAAAAAGAGATTATCACTGATATTTTTTGTAGAGAATATTATTGAAAAAAAATATGCCAGTATACCACACACTGTATGTCTTTTTGTATAAGTGACACTTCGTTTTTCATACCTAATAGATGTCACGTTTGCACGCTCATATTGTTATTTTTATTTTACAAATGTTCACGACACACATACGATGTTCTTTTGCTACTTACTGTAAGTACGGGTGTGGAGTGATCATGGTGCAGCAAAGGTATTTTTATATCAGTAATTGATAATATTGATTTCTCATTGATTCCTTACAACTGTACAGAGAATAAATGTTTATATAACATTAACAGTCAATCCTGTGTCTGTCTGTGTATATATGTGCTAATGTAAGAGGTGAACACATGAACAGCTTTGGTTTAAATGGATAATCTATCTCGGAATTTGATGATTTTCAATATTCTCTGAAACTGAAGTATTTTGTGTTTCGTTGTTGGCAGAGAAAGTTTTGAGAAATATCTAAAAACCCAGCACTATTTTGCACCCACATGATTATCCTACGACTGAGGATTTGTCTGATCATGATTGCTGTGATGACATAAAGTTACAAAACTCCTCTTAGCTGAACTTTCTTTTCCTTAACATTTTTTTTATCTTTTATTCAACTAAATAACTTCCCATGAATGAACACTAGATGGCAGCCGCTGGGATTGAAAACCACAGCCTGTTGGCTTTATGAGTAGTATAGTGTCTGTACACATCTGACAGGTGCTTTCACCAGAGATTTAGTGCAGTGGATGATGCTGACATGCCCAAGTAGCCCTAAAACATCTTTGTGCCTGCTCCTCTGTTCAATACAAATGGGGCACCGCACCAAAATGGGAGTGAAACAAGAAGAAGCAACAGCAGCAAAAAGGATCCTAATAATCTCCTGCTGTGCTCGGCAGCTTCAGGGGCTCCTCTGAGAACGTCATTGCTTCTGCTCAGCAAAAATACTATGGCTGCAGAAGGAGAGTGTGTGTTTGTGTGAGTGTGTGTGCATGTTGGTGTGGAGGTGTACTGTTTCAGGAGGTAGCTGCTCACTTCTTCAAGCATTTTCAGTCTTCTTCGATAGCATTTTTAGTATTTAGATCATTTAGTTAAGTAAAACCTGCAGTACAGCAAAACTCTATTTTCCGTCCTGCATTTAAAACATTACTTGAAGGTCCCCTATTGCTCCCTCTTTCCAGCCAATAAGAAAAGTCTCTCATGTCCTCAGAATGTGTCTTTCATTTTTTTTTTTCAGCTCAAAATACTGCAAAGATGGTTCGTTTTACTCTAACTGTATAACCCCTGGGTTTAAACAGGCTGTTTCTGTGTCTCAAGCTTTGAATGCAGCTGACCTGCTGCTGTCCACATCCCCTTCAGGAAGAAAACTCTCCCTGCATCTCTGATCGACAGCATGGAGCAAAACAGCTGACCACATGGGAGCAGACACAGACTTGAATGGATTTGTGAGACCAGGGCTTTGTTTCTATCCTTTCTCTCTGAGCATTTTATATAGAAATACTGATAAATTCAGAATGTAAAATAGCTTAGTGGTGCAGAACAGCAGTTTGGAAATGACTCTGAAATGGCTGCTGGTTATAATGTCTACTTAATGGGATGCATTTCAAACAATATTTCAACTCTTTTCAACTCTACTGGGGATTTGGCTAAATTAAATATATACAGCCTTCCTCATATTTATTCATACCCTTCCACTAAAGAAAAGGCTCAATTTACAATACTTAATAACTCGAAACTGTAAAAAGGTAATAATAAATAAAAATTTGCTAAATTAGAATTTAGTGAAATAAGAAATTGATTTCGAATTGTGGTTGAAAAGAATAATAATAATAATAATAATAATAATAAATCTAAATAGCTGTCAACAGGTGCAGAAGTCTGATTGAGAGTTACAGAAAACACTTGATTGCAGTGATTGGCTCAAAGGGTTGTTCAACAAAATGCTAGTTTACAGGTCCGTCATGCTTGTTTGCCTGCTTTAAAAAAAATAAAAAAAATTTATTGAACCACAATTTAAAAGCAATGTCATGATTTTCATTGCATTTCTATTTATTATTACTTTTGTCAGTTTCAACTTATTACAGGTACAGCTGTTTTTTCCTTCTTTAATGGGAGGGTATGAATACACTTGAGCACAGGGAGCAAGAGAAAAGTAAACCAATGTGAGTTTAGGTTGGACTAGTCTCTTATTGCCAGACCATTATTGCCAGATTATTTTGCTGACCTGTTTGTAAGTCTTTAAACCAATCACAGTTGTCGTGGGCGGAGCTAAATAAATCATGCGACTTCGGTGTTACCTCTAAATAGTGTCGGGTGGAATTGTTGTAGTGGAACATTTGCAAGCAGGAAGCACTTTCATTAAAATGGATAATCCACCACAAAAACTAGCAGAGCTGCTCAACTGCACGATCCATATATTCGGCAAAACTTTCATTTTCATTTTTAGTGCAATAGTTTGCTGCCCTGACGTTGTTATGGTTGAAAACTGTAACAGGCAGCCAGCAGAAGAGGGTAGAATCGACTAATGCCAGGCTTCTTTCCGCCATCCTACATCCGGTGAGTCAGGCTGTAAAGTTGGACTGAGTCACGGTAGGTGGCATAGAGACAGAAAAACCTCCACACAGTCCTTGTTTATTGGTTTCAAATGAAAGTTTCTACCATCGCTAAATGAGCGTCACAGCTTTCACAGATCTCTGGCCTGTGGCCGAATGATCATTGGCCACATGAGCCACACAATGTGCCAACAAGAGGGATTTTCCTCATGTTGTGGTGACATCACTATCAAAAATACAAGCAATCCACTGGGTGTGTAGTTCCCCGGGTGCTGGGAGTGCATGAAGACTAACGTCTACTCTTGCAGCCACCAGCAGAACATTTGGTGAGCTTTGCTTGCAGCTGACACATTTTAGAGTCAGCAGAATCAGCTCCAGACAGAAAATAAACCGTGTGGACTGTGAGGCAGCTGCTTTTTCTGAATGGATTTACCTGGAGTCAGTGGACTAAGCTTGGTGACTGTCGGTTTGTGGTGGTACGTGACAGCGGGGGTCTTGAGAAATGAAAAGTAAACATCCTCACATCTTAACAGCTTTTACTTTACACCTCCAAGTTTTTAACAACAGTGACATCATTGCTTTAGATGCTGATGATATATTTTTTGTGACAGTATGTGCAATATAACTAACTACTGCTCAGTTAAAATGTGTTATTTGTCTCTGAAATGTCGTGGAGTAGAAATATAACATAGCGTCTAATGGAAAGACTGAAGCACCACAGAACACACACAAACCACATAAGACATCAAAGGTCGGTCAATTGTCTTTTTACTTCATGGGTGTTTTTTTTAGACAATACTCATTATAAACCAGCTTAATAATGTATGAGGAGTTTAAGAACACCTTCACAGAGGTGGTCTGCTTGTATAGTTTGCAGAATGAACAGGTTTAGTTTCCCTGCATTAGAACAAAAATCATATATAATTCATGCAAAACAATAACAGTGTGTTTTTGCTCCATTGCATGTTGGGGTCTATTATACCTGCCTCATAGGTGTTTGGTTTAGACTTCCAGACAAACGGTGGCCTACTGAAGTCCTTCAGTGCACTAAAGAGGCTTTGATAAAAACTGCAGTGTGGATGCTTTTACTGTATGCAACCTGCCCCCTGAATCAGACTAAAGAAGCTTAGCCGGACCCACAGGACTTCCCTTACCCCCTCGAGGGAGCCTCACCTTCATTATTAACACCCACTCCAACGTACAGTACATGAAGCACAGGCCTCGGTACGGCAACGCGTGTTTCACGTCTTGTTTACATGACTTAATGACCACTGTGTTAATTAATTTTCCACGCTGGATGTTAATGATGCCAAGCTCAGCTCTGGCTCTTCCCATGTAGGCCAACATAGGAGTAAGAGTGAGATGCGACGTGGTGGAGGAGAGGGATGAGATGGAGGGAAACCAGGAGATAAAAGTGCGGTTCTGCACGAACCGTCACAGGAGTGTCAATAACAACGACAGCTGGGCTCAAGCTTCCTGCAAGAGTATTGTGACGCTTAAAGACACTTCTGGAGCTTTCCCCTCAGCGTATGTGTGTCTGAGAGTGTATCAGCTCTGCAGGGGATATCTCCTTCTTGCAGTAGTGTGTGTGCATGTGTGTGTGTGTGTGTGTGTGTGTGTGTGTGTGTGTGTATATATATAAATCGTGCATGTGTATGCGCACTGATCCAGACAGACAGTTGTCATCAGCGGGGTGTCTTGAGGGGGGTTTGCTGGAAAAAAGAGCGGCAGATGAGAAAGAGGAGAGGAGGGATGGTGTGTTGAGGTTGTAATTTCACCCAGAGGGGACATTGTCACTCCATCAGTGCCGCTGACACCCTGAGCGTCCGGGACTCGAGTGGGGTGGCAGTTTGGAGTCGACTTCCAGACCTCCAGGGCAACGTTTGCTGCTCACACCCAACGATGAACTCTAAAAGTGGGTTTCTCCTGCTGCTGTGTCTGGACAGATGGGTCTTGATGCTGGAAGGTTGTTGTGTTGAGTTGTCATGCGGCAGCGCTGTGACTTGTTTTATAGTCCCTGCTGAGTGTGTGTGTGTCACTGCAGGGATTTGCGTTGTTCGTGCTGGAACTTGCACTGATATCGTCATATTATGCAAACACACTCATATATGCTAAAACTGTCGTACAAATTACCAACTGGTGGGTGGTAATTCTTTCTGTAGATGTATTTATATGGCATTTTGCATCCCATCATGGGCTGTGAAGTCTTTTTTTATTCTCACCCTCTCTGTGTCTGTTGTTGTGGCCCTATCAGTCCATCTCAGAGCCTGTTATATTTAGAGGCAAAGCACTATCAGAGCTTACAGCTGGCCGCCTCTGATTCAATTCTGACAGATCTACAGCGTTCAAAGCAATCTCCCCTCTTTTTGTCTCGCTCTTTTTTCCGCCTATCTCCACCTCCCCCTTCTGTCTCTTTCTCTTTCATCTCCCCCACCGTCCTCCCTTTTCTTTTCACTTCACTCCTTCCATCTTTTCTTTGTTTCCTCTCTGTCTTTGAGGTTTTATGTCATTTGCATACTTGTGGCTATTCTTACTTCTGCTTTCTCCCTTCTTTTTACTTGTTTATGGTGTTTCTCTATCTCCTCTGAGTCTCTTTCATACAGTTTTCTCCTCACATCTTCACTGTTTTCTCACATATGCAATATATCACTTCCTTTTTCTCCTCTGTTGTGCCACTTTGCCCCCTTTCACTTCATTTTCAAGTGCTTTATTGCTGTTGTGCATCATTAAACTCTATCTCCTCCTGCCAGTTTTGTC